CCTAGATGATCTCTGTCGTTTATCTCTGCTTCCTAGAGGATCTCTGTCGTTTATCTCTGCTTCCTAGATGATCTCTGTCGTTTATCTCTGCTTCCTAGATGATCTCTGTCGTTTATCTCCGCTTCCTAGATGATCTCTGTCGTTTATCTCTGCTTCCTAGATGATCTCTGTCGTTTATCTCTGCTTCCTAGATGATCTCTGTCGTTTATCTCTGCTTCCTAGATGATCTCTGTCGTTTTTTAATACATGTTTCTTGTCTTTTTCTATTCCGCCAATCCCCCTAAGAACCCGACCTCCTTTCAGCCCCTCGCTCCTCCCTCTCCTCCTCTCTTCTTTTCTAGCTTTGAGGCACGGGACCCCTTTTCCACCTCATTGCTATCAAACAATGTCTGCATTTACACACTGGGGGCAACCAACACACACACACACACACACACACACACACAAGGGCTTCCACATAGTGAAGCGTTGAGGCAGATCTTCTTTTGCTCCTTCCCAGCCAACTCTGATAGATAGAGGCAGGTATAGGCGGCAGGTAGCTCAGTGGTTAAGAGCGTTGTGCCAGTAACCAAAAGGTCGCTGGTTCTAATCCCTGAGCCGACTAGGTGAAAAATCTGTCTATGTGCCCTTGAGCAAGGCACTTAACCCTAATTGCTCCTGTAAGTCGCTCTGGATAAGAGCGTCTGCTAAATGCCTAAAACAAAACAAACAAAACATAGAGCTGACCCAGGCCTGCCTGGAGTTCATGTTACCAGGTCAAGTCATCTGCTGCCTGGAGACCATGTTACCAGGTCAAGTCGTCTGTCTGCCTGCCTGGAGACCATGTTACCAGGTCAAGTCGTCTGTCTGCCTGCCTGGAGGCCATGTTACCAGGTCAAGTCATCTGCCTGCCTGGAGACCATGTTACCAGATCAAGTCGTCTGTCTGCCTGCCTGGAGGCCATGTTACCAGGTCAAGTCGTCTGTCTGCCTGCCTGGAGGCCATGTTACCAGGTCAAGTCGTCTGTCTGCCTGGAGGCCATGTTACCAGGCCAGGTAGGGTTTACTGTCCGTTTTTCTGTCTGGAACAGGAACCTTGAGACACACACTTGAAAGGTTATATTTCCATGGTTGAACTGAACCAAGGTTGTTGTATACAATTCATGTGGGTGTGAAAATAGTATGTTACTCCCTGTCTCTGTCTCTCTCTCATTGAGTGTGTTTTCACAGGCCCCCTGGGTAGATCTCGTCACTAAATGGTACAGTTAGAGGACATTATAGAGTATTACTGTGTGTGTGTGTGTGCGCGTGCGTGCGTGCGTGCGTGTGCGTGTGCGTGTGCGTGCGTGTCTACCTGCGAGAGAGAGAGTGTATTCAGACCAAAGACTCAATCCATTGACCGGCTGAAGCACAGTGGAGTGTGAGTGGTTGGCATGGTAATGGTTGTTGGATGGATCAGGCCAATGAACTGCCACGTTGTTCATATCTACCTTATTAGACAAACATCTGTCCAAGGACAGATTTTAGGGATTTAACAGGTCATATCCTCTGCTCTGCAATATGCACCATACACTACACAAAGTATAACCCTTCTTCTAATGCAGAATTAAGAACACACACACAATATATATACACACACACGGATACACACAGACATGTGCATGCAGACTGAGAGAACACACTGGTCTGTAGCCCCAGGTGTCCTGTAGTGAGGGTTGTGGGGGGTAGGGACTCCTAGAGGACTGTCTCCCCAGTGTGGCTGGGGCAGGATTAGACTAAACCTGTGTGTGTGTGATAACACAAGGAGTAATCCTGGGGGGGGTTATGTAGTTCCTGTAATGAACAGAGAGCAGCTTTACATATTATGAACTGACAGATACACTCTACACACACTGTGACATAGTAAGTACACACACACAGACAGTGCATTCAGAAAGTATTCAGACCCCTTGACTTTTTCCACGTTTTGTTACGTTACAGCCTTATTCTAAAATGGATTAAAATAAATGTTTACCTCATCAATCTACACACAATATCCCATAATGGCAAAGCAAAAACAGTTGTAGAAATCTTTGCTAATTTATTAAAAACAAAAAACTGATATAACACATTTACATAAGCATTCAGAGCCTTTACTCAGTACTTTGTTGAAGCACCATTGGCAGCAATTACAGCCACGAGTCTTCTTGGGTATGACGCTACAAGCTTGGCACACCTGTATTTGGGGAGTTTCTCCCATTCTTCTCTGCAGATCCTCTCAAGCTCTGTCAGGTTGGATGGGGAGCATCGCTGCACAGCTATTTTCAGCTCTCTCTAGAGATGTTCGATCGGTTTCAAGTCTGGGCTCTGGCTGGGCCACTCAAGGACATTCAGAGACTTGTCCCGATGCCACTCCTGCGTTGTCTTGGCTGTGTGCTTAGGGTCGTTGTCCTGTTGGAAGATGAACCTTCGCTCCAGTCTGATGTCTTGAGCGCTCTGGAGCAGGTTTTCATCAAGGCTCTCTCTGTACTTTGCTCCGTTCATCTTTCCCTCGAGCCCGATTAGTATCCTAGTCCCTGCCGCTGAAAAACATCCCCACAGCATGATGCTGCCATCACCATGCTTCACCGTAGGGATGGTGCCAGGTTTCCTCCAGACGTGACGCTTGGCATTCAGGCCAAAGAGTTCAATCTTGGTGTCATCAGACCAGAGAATCTTGTTTCTCATGGTGTGAGAGTCCTTTAGGTGGCTTTTGGCAAACTCCAAGCGGGCCGTAATGTGCCTTTTACTGAGGAGTGGCTTCCATCTGGCCACTCTACAATAAAGGCCTGATTGGTGGAGTGCTGCAGAGATGGTTGTCCTTCTGGAAGGTTCTCCCATCTCCACAGAGGAACTCTAGAGCTTTGTCAGAGTGACCATCAGGTTCTTGGTCACCTCCCTGACCAAGGCCCTTCTTCCCCGATTGCTCAGTTTGGACGGGCAGCCAGCTCTAGAAAGAGTCTTGGTGGTTCCAAACATCTTCCATTTAAAAATGATGGAGGCCACTGTATTCTTGGGGACCTTCAATGCTCCAGTAATGTTTTTGTACCCTTCCCCAGATCTGTGCCTCGACACAATCCTGTCTTGGAGCTCTGCGGACAATTCCTTCAATCTCATGGCTTGGTTTTTGCTCTGACATGCACTGTCAACTGTGGGACCTTATATAGACAGGTGTGTGCCTTTCCAAATCATGTCCAATCAATTGAATTTACCACAGGTGGACTCCAATCAAATTGTAGAAACATCTCAAGGATGATCAATGGAAACAGGATGCACCAAAGCTCAATTTCGAGTCTCATAGCAAAGGGGCTTATGTAAATAAGGTATCTGTTTTTTATTTGTAATACATTTGCAAAAATGTCTAGAAATCTGTTTTCGCTTTGTCATTATGGGGTATTGTGTGTAGATTGCTGAGGAAATGTTTTTATTCAATCCATTTTAGAATAAGGCAGTAATGTAACAAAATGTGGAAAAAGTCAAAGGGTCTGAATACTTTCAGAATGCACTGTAAGTTCACACTCACACTTCAAAATGCACATATACACAGCTCATAAAGCCTTAAAGGACCATACACACCATCTGTAGCCTAGTGTGTGAGGTTACACAGCGTTCCTCCAGTATGCTGTTCATAGGGACAGAAATGGTTCAGGTCCAGCTGTATGAGTCCATTCCAGCCGGTCTAACCCCGTTACACTACTGTAGCGACTGCTGGGGGACAGCAATGTCCTGACCTCTCAGCATGGGCCATAGTATGATAACACCACTGGTCCCAGGGGCCCAAGGGAAATCAAGGAGGGCCTAGTGCTATATTGATAGTGGCCAGGGCTCTGTTAGCCTAGTGCTATATTGATAGTGGCCAGGGCTCTGTTAGCCTAGTCCTATATTGATAGTGGCCAGGGCTCTGTTAGCCTAGTCCTATATTGATAGTGGCCAGGGGTCTGTTAAGAGGTCAGATGCACCATGATGACGAATGGCTAAAAGCAACGGGTGACTGTCCTATTGACTGCTGTCGCCACGGTGAGTTATAGCGACAACCTGCTGGATGTCAGGGAACGATGTCTGTTTTCATCGATTAAACGGTCTAGAAGTGTCAGAAAAATCTTTGGAAAATTGAAGGCCGATGTGTCTCCTCTTAGAAACTGGGCCCGATTGGTTAATAACTTTGATGGATTGACAGGCTCTTTCTGTGAACTGTCTCACAACACACAGCCTCTTTGCTCTCCTGCTGAACCCGTGTGACCCCTCTAGTGTTCCATGACCCCAGATTTACCATGGCAATGACCTCAAAATGGGGTCATGACCTCATCCAGTCAAACGGAGGTAACCAATTGGATTATCCGATCAATGTAAGAGAGCCAATGGGATTATCTCATCATGCCATGTCCATGGCTGAATGTTGGACTTGGACATGATGCAGCAAAATCGGCATTAAGCACACATCATCATTCAGATTAAAGTGGAATCATGCCATCCACATGTTAAAACAGGGTTATCCAAAGTTGATCTGGCTTTGACAGAGGATGGAAGAGTTTTAGGACTAAAATCTGTACTGGGCCGTGGCCCTATTTGGAGGATCTCAATATTGAGATCATTAAATATGGGATGTTCACAACTAAATCGGGTAGCTGTTGGATGAAGGGCAGAATCTGATGGTTTAAACATCAAGAGATCAGAGCAGACAGTCTGATGTCTGGAACGGGTCCTACAGAGCTTTAGTTACTGAGTTGAATAATACATAGACAGAACAAATTGTTTCATCTTTTCATTTATTATCTTTAGTGCTTTTCAACATTCATAAAAAAACAAGCCTTTCTAAGTGCAGTAAATGCCATTTCGCTTTCCATAGACGTACATTACAGACACACAGTACACCCTCATCCACCTACATAGGAATATGGCCGAACATACACGCAATCACACCAACGCACAGACACACACACGTCCTTCAGTCACCCCATCGCTCAGTCTCTCATCTCTTCCTCCATTCCAGTATCCCACAATGCCTCAGCATGTCATGCGCGCCACTCCAAACTCCAGGCTGACCACAGCGGGCTCCACCTTAGCCCCGTATATCCCCTGCAGGTCTCCGTAGCTCTCCTTGCGCTCTGTACCGCTGCTGCCCTCTACTGTCCGCTCTGTGTCACTGCAGCACTCTGTCGCCTCCTCTCCCACCTCCTCCTCCTCCTGATGTTGCGCCTCCTTCTGGCTGAGGGGGGCTCCCAGGATGAGGGAGTGGGGCCGCGTGTGGAGAGGGAGGGTGCGTTGGTCTCTAGGGGGGGTCTGGGGGTCTGGGGTGGGGGGGCTGATGCCATGCTTCTGTAGTCTCTGGAGGGATAGACAGAAGAGACAGGGTTAGACTAGGTAATGAGAGCGAGAGAGCGTTAGAGAGAGCGCGAGAGAGCGTTAGAGAGAGCGCGAGAGCGAGCGTTAGAGAGAGCGCGAGAGCGAGCGAGAGTTAGAGAGAGCGCGAGAGAGAGCGCGAGAGCGAGCGCGAGAGCGAGCGTTAGAGAGAGAGCGCGAGAGTTAGAGAGCGCGAGAGCGAGCGTTAGAGAGAGCGTTAGAGCGAGAGCGAGCGTTAGAGAGCGAGCGTTAGAGGGAGAGCGAGCGTTAGAGGGAGAGCGAGCGTTAGAGGGAGAGCGAGCGTTAGAGGAGCGAGCGTTAGAGCGAGCGTTAGAGCGAGCGTTAGAGAGCGAGGCGAGCGTTGAGAGACGAGACGTTAGAGAGCGCGCGAGAGCGAGCGTTAGAGAGAGGAGCGTAGAGGAGAGCGAGCGTTAGAGAGCGCGAGAGCGAGCGTTAGAGAGCGAGCGTTAGAGGGAGAGCGAGCGTTAGAGGGAGAGCGAGCGTTAGAGGGAGAGCGAGCGTTAGAGCGAGCGTTAGAGCGAGCGTTAGAGCGAGCGTTAGAGCGAGCGTTAGAGCGAGCGAGCGTTAGAGCGAGCGAGCGTTAGAGCGAGCGTTAGAGAGAGAGCGCGAGAGCGTTAGAGCGAGCGAGCGTTAGAGAGAGCGAGCGTTAGAGAGAGCGAGCGTTAGAGAGAGCGAGCGTTAGAGAGCGAGCGAGTTAGAGAGCGAGCGAGTTAGAGAGAGCGAGCGTTAGAGAGAGCGAGCGTTAGAGAGAGCGAGCGTTAGAGCGAGAGTGAGCGTTAGAGAGAGCGCGTTAGAGCGAGAGTGAGCGAGAGCGCGTTAGAGCGAGCGAGAGCGCGTTAGAGTGAGAGAGCGCATTAGAGCGAGAGCGAGCGTTAGAGAGCGTTAGAGAGAGAGAGACAGAGAGAGACAGAGACAGAGAGTTAGAGAGAGAGTGAGCGATAGCGCGTTAGAGCGAGAGTGAGCGCGTTAGAGCGAGAGCGAGCGAGAGCGTTAGAGCGAGAGAGCGCATTAGAGCGAGAGCGAGCGTTAGAGAGAGAGCGTTAGAGAGAGAGCGTTAGAGAGAGACAGAGATAGAGAGAGAGAGAGTTAGAGAGAGACAGAGACAGAGAGAGAGAGAGTTAGAGAGAGACAGAGACAGAGAGAGACAGAGACAGAGAGAGACAGAGAGAGACAGAGACAGAGACCATAGAGAGAGAGAGAGAGAGAGAGGAGACAGAGAGAGCAGAGACGAGAGAGAGAGTCATGAGTGAGTGACAGAACAAAAGGGTACTCACAGCCGTCCAGTTTATTGGTCTTCCAGTGTGTTCTTAAGGGTGAGAACGTTTTCAGACAAGACTGCCGGGGTGCATGGAACGTAAACGGATGGTACATATTCCAAACCGACAGAGAGGAGGAGAGGGAGGAGAGGAGTGGAGAGTGTGAGAGAGCATACGGAAATAGGAGTACACTAAACCAGGTAGAAGAGGGGTAGAGGAGAAGGAGAGAGAGATGAGGAGAAGGGGGAGATGAGAGAGGGATAGAGGAGAGAGAGAGAGGGAGGAGGAGAAGAGATGAGATGAAGAGAGAGGAGAGAGAGAGGGATGAGATAGGAGGAGAAGGAGAGATATAGATAGGTGATGAGATTGGAGAAAGAGAGGATAGAAGGAAGGGTGAGACTAGGAGATAAAAGGGAAAAGGGTTAATTGCTCTGCTTAGCTCTGAGTCTGCGGAGGGTCGGGCGCAAGTCTTCGAAAGAGGTGACGAGAGGTTCTACTCGGCGCTGGCGACGGGGGTCGGGCTCGGCGCCGGGGTGTTTGCCGGCTCTTTCGGAGGGGTGCTGGCGCGGGGATGCCGGGGGGGGGCTCGCGGTAGAGGCGGAGGGTCGAGCGAGGCGGGCTGACGGGGGGCGTCGGCGGGGCCGCGCGGGGGCTGCAGCGGCGGGGGCGGGACGCGAGGGCGGGGGGCCGCGGGGGCGTGGCGCGGGGACCGGGGGTCGCGCCCCGCGCGAGCGCTGCGGTCGGCCGCTGCCGGCTGGGTAGGCGGCGCGCGGGCTCGCGGCTGTGGGGGGCTGAGGCGACGGAGGATCGGCGTAGGGCGGGGGGGGGGCCCGGGACTGCTAGCGGGGTGAGCCGCGGCCGGGGCTGGGCGCGGTGGAGGGGCGCGGGTGGAGGCGGCGCGCGGGGATGCGGGCGCGCGGTGGCGGGCGAGGGCGCGGGGGGCGGGGGGGGACGGGGGGGGGGTGGGGCGGAGGGTGCGGCGCGCGGGGGTGGTCGCGGGGGTGGCGCGGAGGGGGGGTGCGCGAGGGTATGGGTGCGCGGTCGGGAGGCTGCGCGCGGAGAGGCGTGGGGGCGAGGGGCGGGGGGGGGCGCGAGGCGGGCTGGGACGGAGCGGGGCGGTGCGCGGCGCGACGGCTGCGCCGGGCGCGCTCGGCGGCGCGGCTCGGCTAGGCGGCGTGCTGTCGCGGCCGGGCGGGTGCGCGCGGCGAGCCGGGGCGCTGATGCGGGCGCAGGTGGCTGTGAGGGCTCCCGGATCGGCTCCAGAGAGATTTCTCGTCTTTGTAGCGGGTGAGGAAGTCGATGTAACTTCGCGGCGTTTCATGCATGTCGAGTCCCCGAGTGAGCGTGTTACTGCCAGGTAGCCGGTCGCCCTAGGGAATTGCGAAGAGTGTAGGAGAGGTGGTTTTCCTAAGGGGGCCCCAATTCCCCCCCCCGGGGGTTTTCCCCCCTTAAAAAAAAAGGTTTTTTTTAGTTGGTAGGGGTTTTTCAAACAAAACCTTGAAAAAATTCCCCGTCTTTAGGTCATTAGGGTCAACACTTTATTTTTAAGAATGTGAAATGTCAGAATAATAGTAGAGAATAATTTATTTCAGCTTTTATTTATTTTATCACATTCCCAGTGGGTCAGAAGTTTACATATACTCAATTAGTATTTGGTAGCATTGCCTTTAAATTGTTTAACTTGGGTCAAACGTTTCAGGTAGCCTTCGACAAGCTTCCCACAATAAGTTGGGTGAATTTTGGCCCATTCCTCCTGACAGAGCTGGTGTAATTGAGTCAGGTTTGTAGGCCTCCTTGCTCGCACACGCTTTTTCAGTTCTGCCCACACATTTTCTATAGGATTGAGGTCAGGGCTTTGTGATGGCCACTCCAATACCTTGACTTTGTTGTCCTTAAGCTATTTTGACACAACTTTGGAAGTATGCTTGGGGTCATTGTGCATTTGGAAGACCCATGTGACCAAGTTTTAACTTCCTGACTGATGTCTTGAGATGTTGCTCCAATATATCCACATCATTTTCCTTCCTCATGATGCCATCTATTTTGTGAAGTTCACCAGTCCCACCTGCAGCAAAGGACCCCCACAGCATGATGCTGCCACCCCCGTTCTTCACGGTTGGGATGGTGTTCTTCGGCTTGCAAGACCCCCCTTTTTCCTCCAAACATAACGATGGTCATTATGGCCAAACAGTTCTATTTTTGATTCATCAGACCAGAGGACATTTCTCCAAAAAGTACGATATTTGTCCCCATGTGCAGTTGCAAACCGTAGTCTGGCTTTTTTATGGCGGTTTTGGAGCAGTAGCTTCTTCCTTGCTGAGCGGCCTTTCAGGTTATGTCGATATAGGACTCGTTTTACTGTGGATATAGATACTTTTGTACCTGTTTCCTCCAGCATCTTCACAAGGTCCTTTGCTGTTGTTCTGGGATTGATTTGCACTTTTCGCACCAAAGTACGTTCATCTCTAGGAGACAGAATGCGTCTCCTTCCTGAGCGGTATGATGGCTGCGTGGTCCCATGGTGTTTATACTTGTGTACTATTGTTAGTACAGATGAACGTGGTACCTTCAGTGTTTGGAAATTGCTCCCAAGGATGAACCAGACTTGTGGAGGTCTACAATTTTTCTTCTGAGGTCTTGGCTGATTTCTTTTGATTTTCCCATGATGTCAAGCAAATAGGCACTGAGTGTGAAGGTAGGCCTTGAAATACATCCACAGGTACACCTCAAATTGACTCAAATGATATAAATTAGCCTATCAGAGCTTCTAAAGCCTTGACATCATTTTCTGGAATTTTCCAAGCTGTTTAAAGGCACAGTCAGCTTAGTGTATGTAAACTTCTGACCCACTGGAATTGTGATACAGTGAATTATAAGTGAAATAATCTGTCTGTAAACAATTGTTGGAGAAATTACTTGTGTCATGCACAAAGTAGATGTCCTAACCGACTTGCCAAAACTATAGTTTGTTAACAAGAAATTTGTGGAGTGGTTGAAAAAAAGAGTTTTAATGACTCCAACCTAAGTGTGTAAACTTCCGACTTCAACTGTATATAGTGTGTGTGTGTGTGTGTACTGTGGATTTTTCTGTATAGCACTTGAGTGAGTGAGGGAGTGTTACTCACTGCAGCTCTTCTCTCCGTCTCTGGTTGTTAGCCAGGAAGTTCCCGTACTGACAGGAGTGAACATGTTCATGGATCTGCAGCAGCAGCCACTCACTGAACTCAAACGCCTGAGGAAGAGTCGGTACCATCACCATCTTGATCACTGTCATCATCATCACTCATGGCTGCTATGTGGTGAGTATTCTGTCGCATACACACACACACCTACCTGGGGGAACTGCTCTGTGAGCTGCCATACACAGTCTAGGAACTGGGTGAAGACTGGGGACACCTCCTTGGGGTCACCATCCAACTGGTCACATCTGTCTGCAAACTTGTGTCCAAATGAGATCCAGTCCTTCTCTATGAGGACCTGAAACAGAGAGAGAGAGAGAACAGAGTCTTATGGAATGATATTCCTTTTACCATCTCTACAGGCATAGGGAAGTTGTGTTGTGTCCTACCATGAAGCCTTTGATGGAGCGGTAGTACACAGACCTACCATGAAGCCTTTGATGGTGCGGTAGTACACAGACCTACCATGAAGCCATTGATGGTGCGGTAGTACACAGACCTACCATGAAGCCATTGATGGTGCGGTAGTACACAGACCTACCATGAAGCCTTTGATGGTGCGGTAGTACACAGACCTACCATGAAGCCTTTGATGGTGCGGTAGTACACAGACCTACCATGAAGCCTTTGATGGTGCGGTAGTACACAGACCTACCATGAAGCCTTTGATGGTGCGGTAGTACACAGACCTACCATGAAGCCTTTGATGGTGGCGGTAGTACACAGACCTACCATGAAGCCTTTGATGGTGCGGGTAGTACACAGACCTACCATGAAGCCTTTGATGGTGCGGTAGTACACAGACCTACCATGAAGCCTTTGATGGTGCGGTAGTACACAGACCTACCATGAAGCCTTTGATGGTGCGGTAGTAGGGGTCCATGAGCAGAGCTCCCAGAGAGCAGACCTGGGCTGTCCGATCCCAGCCATCTGAACAGTGGACCAACACACTGGCTCCTTCTACTGTTACTGCCTATGGAGAGAGAGATGGAGGAGAGAGAGAGAGAGATGGAGGAAGAGAGAGAGAGATGGAGGAAGAGAGAGGGGGATGGAGGAAAGAAGGAGAGAGATGGAGGAAGAGAGAGGCAGCGATGGGGAGGAAGAGAGCGAGCAGAGCGATGAGAGATGGAGTCGAGAGAGGATGAGAGATGGGGGAGAGAGAGAAGCATGTGGGAAGACGGAGGAGATTGAGAGATGCGGAGAGAGAGAGAGATGTGAGAGATGGAGGAAGAGAGAGAGAGATGAGAGAGAGACAGATATTTGTGACCTGTTGCCACAAGAAAAGGGCAAGCAGTGAAGAACAACCACCATTGTAAATACAACCCATATCTGTTTATTTTCCCTTTTGTATTTTAACTATTTGCAAATCATTATAACACCATATATAGACATAATATAACATTTGAAATGTATATTCCTTTTGAAACCTTTATGAGTTTAATGTTTACTGTTCATTTTGTATTGTTTATTTCACTTGCTTTGGCAATGTAAATATATGTTTCCCATGTCAATAAAGCCCCTTAAATTGTATGTGTGAGAGAGTGAGAGAGAGGTTAATCACTTCCCTTGTCATTATCAAAACATGTAACCATTGTTGGATGTAGTCCAGTGAAGACATTCCAACATCAGTGTGACTAACTAGATCTGAAGAGCAGAAGGGGCCTTACCTTGGTGAGGAAGATGGCTGCATCTACCACAGCTTTGACGTGCCGTAGCCAACCACAGCTCTCCAAGCCCAGCAGGTAGTCATTCACTGACAGAGAACGACTTCCCACCACTAAGAGAGACAGAGAGAGAGGTAGAGGGAGTCTGAGCGTGTCTGGTGAGTGAGTGAGTGAGTGAGTGAGTGAGTGAGTGAGTGAGTGAATGACCATAACCGACCTTCCAGTAGTTTCTGTAGGCTGGTCCTCATCACGTGGATGTTCTCGATCCCCACAAACTGGAAGCGGATGTTGGAGTAGTTATCTTCATTCTCATAGCCTTTACCTGCTGCTCTGTTAGCCATGGCATTCAACTGGAGAGAGGGAGAGGGAGAGGGAGAGGGAGAGGGAGACGGAGAGGGAGAGGGAGAGGGAGAGGGAGAGGGAGAGGGAGACGGAGACGGAGACGGAGAGGGAGAGGGAGAGGGAGATTAACAGAAAGAAACAGAGGGACTGAGAATGTCCACATACTTCTGTGGGAGGAGCTAGCTAGCCATGTCAGGATTGGGTACCTTGGGCCTGGTATCCATGACGTAGACAAATCGGCTGTTGTGATTGGCTTTGCTGATGGCCTGCAGCATGCTCTCGTCCTCCAGGCATCGCGCGCTGAACCCAGAGAGCGGTTGGCTGCACCGACACACCGCCGCCTGCAGGGGACAGAGACAAGCGCAGAGCACACCGATTAGCCACACATACCTGACGATATTTTAGGGTTACATCACAGGAGGTTGGTGGCGCCTTAATTGGGGAGGACGGGCTCGTGGTAAAGGCTGGAGCGGAATCAGTGGAATGGTATCAAATACAATTTGTAAGTCGCTCTGGATAAGAGCGTCTGCTAAATGACGTAAATGTAAATGTACATCAAAACACATGGTTTCCATGGTTTCCATGTGTTTGATGTCATTCCATTTGCGCCGTTCCGGCCATTATTATGAGCCGTCCTCCCCTCAGCAGCCTCCACTGGGTTATATGTAGGTTTGGGATGTAGGTAAAATGTTAGGGGGAAGGGTTAGGATGAAGCTGGGTATGGTAAGGGTTAGGTGTTACCTTCTTCTCCTGGTAGAAGTATGTGAGGACAGGGAAGCGTCCTTTGCTCCTGAACTTGGAGCTGCCGACGATGATGGGCTTACTGGCTGTGATGGGCACATACAGGTCCCTGGGATACGTCTCACATATCTACAACACAATGAAAGGGAATATTAAATGGGATTTGTTGTAAAACATCCAATCAATCCTATTCCATTAGATCTGGAGACACCAAAGTTGTTTCTGGACATAGCAAACATCTAACATTTTCTTCTTTTTTTCTATTGATAGACCCGCCCACCTTGTAGTTCCTGTTGACGTCAGTGAGCTGCCATTGGTCGCAGGGGACGCCCATCCTCTCAAACTCCGCCCCCAGGTCGATGAGCTGCCAGCCCTCCTCTCTCTGCTGCTCATTCTGCTTGGGGTTGTAGGAGAACGCATAGAGCTCCTCATAGGATACTATGGAGGGAGAGAGGGAGGGAGAGAGGAGAAGGGGGGAGGGGAGTCGAGAGAGGGAGGGAGAGAGGAAGAATGGAGGAGGAGAGAGGAGAAGGGGCAGGAGGAGAGAGGAGAAGGGGGGAGGATCCGAGAGGAGGAAGGGGGGAGGCGAGAGCGAGGGCAAGGGAGACAGGGGGGGTGGACGAGGAGCGGGTGAGGACGGAGGAGAAGGGGGAGGGAGAGCAGAGAGGGAGGGGAGGAGGAGGGAGTGGAGAGGATGTCGACGTTTTGATTACTTGAATCGAGCAAGGGAGATGCCCAGACCACCGACAGGGCACACAAGGAAAGTCGGGTCGGAGTAGAGAGACGTAGCTAGGCGTGACAGTCGACCAGGCGGACACAAGGGGACGAGTGACGAGGAGACCAACAATGTCACACATTCTTTCTGACATTGAGCTTGAATTTGGAAAACCAGCAGATGCCCGACCACACACATGACACCGACAACACACACGACACACACACACCGGACCTGGTCCGAGCAGCTCTGACAGTGACATTGTAGATGGTCGTGACATCTCCTCTTCTGGAAACAAAGTGGACCACTCTGAAGTACGACACTGATGACAGGGACAACCGCCGTGTCACGACAGCTCTCCACTGACGCTATGTGGTGGTGTAGGATCTGGAGGGGAAAAACAAAACAGGCATGACATCCGACAGACCGACCATGACACCTGATAGACCGACCATGACACCCGACAGACCGACCATGACACCCGACAGACCGACCATGACACCCGACAGACCGACCATGACACATGTTGCAGGGATGCAGCTTGAACCCCCACCCTCTTCAAAATGTTTAACTACGAATTGGCGAGGGCTCTAGAACAGTCTGCAGCACCCGGCCTCACCCTACTAGAATCTGAAGTCAAATGTCTACTGATGATCTGGTGCTTCTGTTCCCAAACAAGGAGGGCCTACAGCAGCACCTAGATCTTCTGCACAGATTCTGTCAGACTTGGGACCTGACATTAAATCTCAGTAAGACAAAATAATGGTGTTCCAAAAAAGGTCCAGTTGCCAGGACCACAAATACAAATTCCATCTAGACACTGTTGCCCTAGGGCACAAAAAAAAACTATACCTACCTCTGCACCACAGGTACAGAGGAATTTTACATACACTTAGGTTAGAGTCATTAAAACTCGTATTACAACCACTCCACACATTTCTTGTTAACAAACTATAGTTTTGGCAAGTCGGTTAGGACATCTACTTTGTGCATGACACAAGTAATTTTTCCAACAATTGTTTACAGACAGATTATTTCACTTATAATTCACTGTATCACAATTCCAGTGAGTCAGAAGTTTACATACACTAAGTTGACTGTGCCTTTAAACAGCTTGGAAAATTCCAGAAATGATGTCATGGTTTTAGAAGCTTCTGATAGGCTAATTGACATCATTTGAGTCAATTGGAGGTGTACCTGTGGATTTATTTCAAGGCCTACCTTCAAACTCAGTGCCTCTTTGCTTGACATCATGGGAAAATCAAAAGAAATCAGCCAAGACCTCAGAAAATAGATATTTCCAAACGCCTGAAGGTACCACGTTCATCTGTACAAACAATAGTACGCAAGTATAAACACCATGGGACCACGCAGCCATCATACCGCTCAGGAAGAAGACGCATTCTGTCTCCTAGAGATGAACGTACTTTGGAGTGAAAAGTGCAAATCAATCCCAGAACAACAGCAAAGGACCTTGGGAAGATGCTGGAGGAAACAGGTACAAAAGTATCTACATTGGGGAGAACAAGTATTTGATACACTACCGATTTTGCAGGTTTTCCTACTTACAAAGCATGTAGAGGTCTGTAATTTTTATCATAAGTACACTTCAACTGTGAGAGACGGAATCTAAAACAAAAATCCAGAAAATCACATTGTATGATTTTTAAGTAATTAATTTGCATTTTATTGCATGACATAAGTATTTGATCACCTAACAACCGGTAAGAATTCCAGCTCTCACAGACCTGTTAGTTTTTCTTTAAGAAGCCCTCCTGTTCTCCACTAATTACCTGTATTAACTGCACATGTTTGAACTCGTTACCTGTATAAAAGACCTGTCCACACACTCAATCAAACAGACTCCAACCTCTCCACAATGGCCAAGACCAGAGAGCTGTGTAAGGACATCAGGGATAAAATTGTAGACCTGCACAAGGCTGGGATGGGCTACAGGACAATAGGCAAGCAGCTTGGTGAGAAGGCAACAACTGTTGGCGCAATTATTAGAAAATGGAAGAAGTTCAAGATGACGGTCAATCACCCTCGGTCTAGGGCTCCATGCAAGATCTCACCTCGTGGGGCATCAATGATCATGAGGAAGGTGAGGGATCAGCCCAGAACTACACGGCAGGACCTGGTCAATCACCTGAAGAGAGCTGGGACCACAGTCTCAAAGAAAACCATTAGTAACACACTACGCCGTCATGGATTAAAATCCTGCAGCGCACGCAAGGTCCCCCTGCTCAAGCCAGCGCATGTCCAGGCCCGTCTGAAGTTTGCCAATGACCATCTGGATGATCCAGAGGAGGAATGGAAGAAGGTCATGTGGTCTGATGAGACACAAATAGAGCTTTTTGGTCTAAACTCCACTCGCCGTGTTTGGAGGAAGAAGAAGGATGAGTACAACCCCAAGAACACCATCCCAACCGTGAAGCATGGAGGTGGAAACATCATTCTTTGGGGATGCTTTTCTGCAAAGGGGACAGGACGACTGCACCGTATTGAGGGGAGGATGGATGGGGCCATGTATCGCGAGATCTTGGCCAACAACCTCCTTCCCTCAGTAAGAGCATTGAAGATGGGTCGTGGCCGGGTCTTCCAGCATGACAATGACCCGAAACACACAGCCAGGGCAACTAAGGAGTGGCTCCGTAAGAAGCATCTCAAGGTCCTGGAGTGGCCTAGCCAGTCTCCAGACCTGAACCAAATAGAAAATATTTGGAGGGAGCTGAAAGTCCGTATTGCCCAGCGACAGCCCCGAAACCTGAAGGATCTGGAGAAAGTCTGTATGGAGGAGTGGGCCAAAATCCCTGCTGCAGTGTGTGCAAACCTGGTCAAGACCTACAGGAAACGTATGATCTCTAATTGCAAACAAAGGTTTCTGTACCAAATATTAAGTTCTGCTTTTCTGATGTATCAAATACTTATGTCATGCAATAAAATGCAAATTAATTACTTAAAAATCATACAATATGATTTTCTGGATTTTTGTTTTAGATTCTGTCTCTCACAGTTTTTGTGTACCTATGATAAAAATTACAGACCTCTACATGCTTTGTAAGTAGGAAAACCTGCAAAATCGGCAGTGTATCAAATACTTGTTCTCCCCACCGTAGATCCACAGTAAAGCGAGTCCTATCTCGACATAACCTGAAAGGCCGCTCAGCAAGGAAGAAGCCACTGCTCCAAAACCGCCATAAAAAAGCCACACTACGGTTTGCAACTTCGGACTTCAACTGTAACTTCCACAAAGCTGTGAACGATCTGAGAGAAAAGGCAAGGGCCTTCTTTGCCATCAAAAGAACATCCCAATTAGGATCTGGCAAAAAATACTTGAATCAGTTATGGAACCCATTGCCCTCTATGGTTGTGAGGTCTGGGGTCCACTCACCAACCAAGAATTCACAAAATGCGACAAACACCAAATTGACACGCTGCATGCAGAATTATGCAAAAACATCCTCAGAGTACAATGTAAAACACCAAATAATGCACGCAGAGCAAAATTAGGACAATTCACGCTAATTATCAAAATCCAGAAAAAAAATCTGCTAAAATAAGTGATTCCCAAACCTTCCATAACAAAGCCGTCACCTACAGATAAATGAACCTGGAAAAGTGTTCCCTCAGCCAGCTGGTCCTGGGGCTCTGTTCACAAACACAAACAGATCCCACAGAGCCCCACAACAGCAACACAATTAGACCCAACCAAATCATGAGAAAACTAAAAAATAATTACTTCACACATTGGAAAGAATCAACAAAAAAAATGCAAACTGGAATGTTATTTTGCCCTAAACAGAGAGTACACAGTGGCAGAATACCTGACCACTGTGACTGATTCAAAATTAAGTAAAGCTTTGACTATGTACAGACTCAATGAGCATAGCCTTGCTATTGAGAGAGGCTGCCATCGGCAGACCTGGCTCTTAAGAGAAGACAGGCTATGTGAACACTGTCCACAAAATGAGGTGGAAACCGAGCTGCACTTCCTAACCTCCTGTCAAATGTATGACCATGTTAGAGACACATATTTCCCTCAGATTACACAGACCCACAAAGACTTTGAAAACAAATCCAATCTTGATAAACTCCCATATCTATTAGGTGAGATACCAGTGTGCCACCACAGCAGCAAGATTTGTGACCTGTTGCCACAAGAAAAGGGCAACCAGTGAAGAACAAACACCACTGTAAATACAACCTATGTATCTGTTTATTTTCCCTTTCATACTTCAACTATTTGCACATTGTTACAACACTGTACATAGCAATAATATAATATTTGGAATGTTTACTGTTAATTTCTGATTGTTTATTTCCCTTTTGTTTACTATCTATTTCACTTGCTTTGGCAATGTTAACATACGTTTCCCATGCCAATAAAGCCCTTAAATTGAGAGAGAGCGAAGAGAGGAGAGAGAGACTTAAAATGCTGATCTCACCTGATCTGAGTCAGACACGGTTTCAACCTTTCTTCAATATTTTATGACCTGGAGGAAAATTGTGCCTGGCTCCTCACTCTGACTGGCTGACTGCCAGCTACCACATTAACTCCTACACACAAACTGTCCCCTGTGCTCAGCAGTAGAAGAGGAAGGAAGTGTGTAGGAACTCTGGCAGCAGTTTCTCTGTTGAAATCACACTGTAGACCGTAACTCCATAAACCAGAGATCTGACTCAAGACAACACACCCACCCAATCAAAATACCTCCGTATCAAAGTGCGCTGTAGATGGGTGTGTCAGGCCATAGCTAAAGCAAGTCCTACATTCTGAATTCAGAGCTCTGTGTGAGATAAGGTGTGTTCTGCATTGAATAAAAAGGTCCTTCTCACCCAGATCTCCTGTGCGGCGGTGGCATTGCTCTCCACGAAGATGAGGTGTGTAGCCGTCAGGTGCAGCGTTCCGCTGGTCGACTTGTTACTGAAGCGGTCCAACAGACGGACCTGCTCCACCTGTACAAGTACACACACAGGTAAACAACGTTTAGAACACAGGTAAACAATAACCCCCCCCCCCACCCACAGAGTAATGAAATAGGATACGCATCTGACAATCTATATAGAGGTGTCAATCAGACACAGTACTTGTTGTCAGTTATACAACAAGCAGACCATTAGCCACTCAACCAGAAAGAAAGGCTGGCAATTATAATTACAGCTGTGTATGTAAAAGAGCTTTGGAGTGGCTGTGATTTGCAGTAAACATTACACTCAGGAGTTCCAAAAGAATAAAGACATTTCAAATGTCATTATGTCTATATACAGTGTAACAATGTGGGGGCGGCAGGTAGCTTAGTGGTTAAGAGCGTTGTGCCAGTAACCGAAAGGTTGCTGGTTCTAATCCCCGAGCCAACTAGGTGAAAAATCTGTCGATGTGCCCTTGAGCACCCTAATTGCTCATGTAAGTCGTTCTGGATAAGAGCGTCTGCTAAATGACTAAAAATGTTTTTTTAAAAATGTAAATGCGCAAATAGTTAAAGTACAAATGGGAAAATAAATCAACATAAATATGGGTTGCATTTACAATGGTGTTTGTTCTTCACTGGTTTCCCTTTTCTTGTGGCAACAGGTCACAAATCTTGCTGCTGTGATTGCACACGGTGGTATTTCACCCAGTAGATAAGAGAGTTGATCAAAATTGGGTTTGTTTTCAAATTCTTTGTGGGTCTGTGTAATCTGAGTGAAATAGGTGTCTCTAATATGGTCATACATTTGGCAGGAGGTTAGGAAGTGCAGCTAAGTTTCCACCTCATTTTGTGTGCAGTGTGCACATAGCCTGTCTTCTCTTGAGAGCCAGGTCTGCCTTCGGCGGCCTTTCTCAATAGGAAGGCTATGCTCACTGAGTCTGTACATAGTCAAAGCTTTCCTTAAATTTGGGTCAGTCACAGTGGTCAGGTATTCTGCCACTGTGTACTCTATTTAGGGCCAAATAGCATTCTAGTTTGCTCAGTTTTTTTGTTAATTCTTTCCAATGTGTCAAGTAATTATCTTTTAGTTTTCTCATGATTTGGTTGGGTCTAATTGTGTTGTTGTCCTGGGGCTCTGTGGGGTCTGTTTGTGTTTGTGAACAGAGCACCAGGACCAGCTTGCTTAGGGGACTCTTCTCCAAGTTAATCTCTCTGTAGGTGATGGCTTTGTTATGGAAGGTTTGGGAATCGCTTCCTTTTAAGTGGTTATAGAATTTAACGGCCCTTTTCTGGATTTTGATAATTAGTGGGTATCAGCCTAATTCTGCTCTGCATGCATTATTTGGTGTTTTTCGTTGTACACAGAGGATATTTTTGCAGAATTCTGCATGCAGTCTCAATTTGGTGTTTGTCCCATTTTGTGAATTCTTGGTTGGTGAGCGGACCCCAGACCTCACAACCATAAAGGGAAATGGGTTCTATAACTGATTCAAGTATTTTTAGCCAGACCCTAATTGGTATGTCAAATTTTATGTTCCTTTTGATGGCATAGAAGGCCCTTCTTGCCTTGTCTCTCAGATCGTTCACAGCTTTGTGGAAGTTACCTGTGGCACTGATGTTTAGGCCAAGGTATGTATAGTTTTTTGTGTGCTCTAGGGCAATGGTGTCTAGATGGAATTTGTATTTGTGGTCCTGGCAACTAGACCTTTTTTGGAACATCATTATTTTTGTCTTACTGAGATTTACTGTCAGGGCCCAGGTCTGACAGAATCTGTGCAGAAGATCTAGGTGCTGCTGTAGGCCCTCCTTGGTTGGTGACAGAAGCACCAGATCATCAGCAAACAGAAGACATTTTACTTCAGATTCTAGTAGGGTGAGGCCATGTGCTGCAGACTGTTCTAGTGCCCTCGCCAATTCGTTGATATATATGTTGAAGAGGGTGGGGCTTAAACTGCATTCCTGTCTCACCCCACGGCCCTGTGGAAAGAAATGTGTGTTTTTTGCTCATTTTTAACTGTACACTTGTTGTCTCTCTCACACACACACACAGAGAGAGAGAAATGTTCTCCCTATTTTTATTTATTTAACCTTTATTTAACCAGGCAAGTCAATTAAGAACAAATTCTTATTTACAATGACGGCAAGCGGTAAAAGGCCTCCTGTGGGGACGGGGGCTAAGATAAAAATATATACAGTTGAAGTCGGAAGTCTATATACACTTAGGGTGGAGTCATTAAAACTTGTTTTTCAACCACTCCAAAAATGTCTTGTTAACAAACTATAGTTTTGGCAAGTCGGTTAGGACATCTACTTTGTGCATGACACAAGTAATTTTTCCAACAATTGTTTACAGACAGATTATTTCACTTATAATTCACTGTATCACAATTCCAGTGTGTCAGAAGTTTACATACACTAAGTTGACTGTGCCTTTAAACAGCTTGGAAAGTTCCAGAAAATGATGTCATGGCTTTAGAAGCTTCTGATAGGCTAATTGACATCATTTGAGTCAATTGGAGGTGTACCTGTGGATGTATTTCAAGGCCTACCTTCAAACTCAGTGCCTCTTTGCTTGACATCATAGGAAAATCTAAAAAAAAATGCTGGTTCATCCTTGGGAGTAATTTCCAAACGCCTGAAGGTACCACGTTCATCTGTACAAACAATAGTACGCAAGTATAAATACCATGGGACCGCGCAGCCGTCATACCGCTCAGGAAGGAGACGCGTTCTGTCTCCTAGAGATGAACGTACTTTGATGCGAAAAGTACAAATCAATCCCAGAACAACAGCAAAGGAACTTGTGAAGATGCGGGAGGAAACAGGTACAAAAGTATCTATATCCACAGTAAAACGAGTCCTATATCGACAACCTGAAAGCCCGCTCAGCAAGGAAGAAGCCACTGCTCCAAAACTGCCATAAAAAAGCCAGACTACGGTTTGCAACTGCACATGGGGACAAATATCGTACTTTTTGGAGAAATGTCCTCTGGTCTGATGAAACAAAAATAGAACTGTTTGGCCATAATGAACATCGTTATGTTTGGAGGAAAAAGGGGGTGGCTTGCAAGCCGAAGAACACCATCCCAACGTGAAGCACAGGGGTGGCAGCATCATGCTGTGGAGGTGCTTTGCTGCAGGAGGGACTGGTGCACTTCACAAAATAGATGGCATCAAGAGGAAGGAATATTATGTGGATATATTGAAGCAACATCTCAAGACATCAGTCAGGAAGTTAAAGCTTGTTCGCAAATAAGTATTCCAAATGGACAATGACCCCAAGCATACTTCCAAAGTTGTGGCAAAATGGCTTAAGGACAACAAAGTCAAGGTATTGGAGTGGCCATCACAAAGCCCTGACCTCAATCCTATAGAAAATGTGTGGGCAGAACTGAAAAAGCATGTGCGAACAAGGAGGCCTACAAACCTGACTCAGTTACACCAGCTCTGTCAGGAGGAATGCGCTAAAATTCACCCAAATTATTGTGGGAAGCTTGTGGAAGGCTACCCGAAACATTTGACCCAAGTTAAACAATTTAAAGGCAATGCTACCAAATAATAATTGAGTGTATGTAAACTTCTGACCCACTGGGAATGTGATGAAAGAAATAAAAACTGAAATAAATAATTCTCTCTCCTAATATTCTGACATTTCACATTCTTAAAATAAAGTGGTGATCCTGAGACAGTGAATTTTTACTAGGATTAAATGTCAGGAATTGTGAAAAACTGAGTTTAAATGTATTTGGCTAAGGTGTATGTAAACTTCCGACTTCAACTCTATATGTTTTACAAGTAAGACAAAATGGACAACACAGACAAAAGATACTGGCAACAGCAGAAATACAACAGCAAACAAACAGTGTATGTGTATGGTGTTTGTAAAGCAAAGCGCGCTTCCTTCCAGAAGGCAACGCAAACTAGTGACATCAGGTGACAACTACATGTCTCAACAACCTGTTCATCCATTTGTCCTTTGAATTCCTCCAGGGACACCCGGTCCTGGAGTTTAAGGTTGGCTTGAAGGGAATTCCAACACCAGGGGGCTGAGTAATGAAAGGACCTTTTTCCATGCTCTGTTAAAATTTTCATGACTGTTAGCATAAAACAAGATTGAGATCTGAGCTTGTATGCATTTTCATTTCGAGCTAGAAGAGAGAATAGATGCAATGGCAGTTTTCCTAAAATGGCCTGTTAAATAAGAATGTACCAGTGTTTGAGCCTGCGTGTTGCTAGTGATGTCCACCCAACAGCATTGTAGAGATCACAATGGTCTCTGATTGGTGACAAAACAAAGGGCTGCATGATACACAGAGTCAAGAGCCTTCAGTGTAGAGCTTGAGGCTCGCACATAAATAGTATCACCATAATCCAACACAAAGAGAAAAGGAGAACGAATCAACTCCTTTCTGGTGGTAAAGGAAAAACACGCTTTGTGCTGGTAATAAAACCCAATATTCAGCCTCAGTTTCCTGATAAGGTTCTCTACATGGGTGGTGAAGCTCAACTTCTCATCCACCAAAACTCCCAGATAGTTGTATGTTTTGACTTGCTCTATGGAATGTCCTTCCAAAGTAGTAATTACATGGTTTTAGTATTGGAAAATACCATGCACTTTGTATACCATGCATTAGTATTGGAAAATACCATGCACTTTGTATACCATGCATTAGTATTGGAAAATACCATGCACTTTGTATACCATGCATTAGTATTGGAAAATACGTACTACCATGTCCTCGCTAACACTGCCACAGCCTGAATGTCAGTAGAACATTGACTGAGTCAGTGGGACCAGAGTAGAACACTGACTGAGTGGTTAGAAGATGAATAACTAGGCTAACTTAACTCTGTAACCTTTTGTCTTCACACCCTGTAGGTTATGTCTCACTTTAATGACATCATTGAAAACTGCTTGACTGAATAGACAAGTAGCCTATTCTCTCTCTTTCTCCCTCTCTTTGAAAAGGTCTCTCTCTGTCTCCCAGCAACCAGTGTGGCGCTAGGCAACTCCACAGGATGGCGATCAGTCAGCTCAGTCAAGGTCTGGCAGAAAACAGAAGAACAGGAAGTGTGTGTGTGTGTGTGTGTGTGTGTGTGTGTGTGTGTGTGTGTGTAGACTGAAGGAGATGGAAAAAAGAGGATGAGGGAAGAAACGGTTGTTGACGGGCCTGAAGTCAAGCTGATGACTCAGTGTGTTCTGTTTACCATTTAACGTAAGTGCATTTGCCATCCCAATTGAATACATTATATTTCCTTGCTCCGGTCCGGATATCTGCATGATCCAGTTTAGCGCAACCGTGAACCAAATATTTGGAAATAATCAGGGGTTGACTGTCTGTGTGCTTTAAGAGTTCAAGCAGGGTCCTGGGGGCAGAGCCCAAAATACTGCAGATGGGAAACACCCCTGCAGGCAACCACACCCACCGTGTCACCTGAACAAAACAACCACACCCTACAAGTGTCAGTTCAACAGACACACTTCTTTGTTTTGTTCAGGTGAAAGGATGGGTGTGGTTGCCTGCAGGGGTTTTTCCCCATCTGCAGTCTTTTGGCCTCTGCCCCCAGGACCTTGTTGTACTGAGTATTCCCTACAACACTTTTACTGCTGCACCCAGAATAGTTTTTGCTATTGATTCGCATTGGGGGCATTTATTTGACCTTGGAACATGTTTTAAAATCCATATTTAATGCAAATGTCACTTAAATATGAACAAATATGAATCATTGTTAATGTTCACACAATTATTTTTCATATATCATGAAGAAATACAAGCTATTGACACATTTCTACTATTACGTGGGGGATTTTTATTTTGAAATTCCGTGCCCCGGAAGTACTTTTTTAAAGTGTTGACGAGACGCTGATCTTCAGGCAGCACTTTACTGATGGAAAAAAATCCCTACAAAGGACTTTGAGGTGGCTCTTCAACCCAGCTTTTTATTAAGTTACACCAGAAATATACTTTGACATCAACATGAAAGCTTTGAGCCTAAGAAAACAGTGGCTGTGATGACGTCTGTCACTCACTATAGCATGAAGAAAACATTGTCAACTTTGCTTGCTCCTTTGACGTAGTGGTGGCACCATGATCCGTCACACTAAATGCATTATCAGGAAACATGCAAGCTAGTCTAATAAATCTAATATCGTGTTTGTGCCAAGGAGGACAAACAGAAGCAAGAGGCGGCTCGCTACAAAAACAGGTCACTGGCACAGCGACCAGCACATCACACAGTTGTCAAGCGCCATAGAGAGAGATAACCAAGTGTATACCAAGAAGGCAGTCTCCACAGAGTTACGTGATGAAGTGTTTTAGTTATCTATGTCCACAGTGGCTTCTCCGAGTCGCTCTCTCTATCCTGTTCTGAATCACCACCCAAAACGCGAGCCTAATTGACCATTCCGCTCATTCAAAAGACCATTCCGCCCATTCTAAAGACCATCATATAGGCCATTCTAAAGACCAGGCCGTGCAGCAGAATCCGCTTTTCTTGGAAACAAAACAAGACTGACTATAATTAATATCAAGTTAGATAGCTGGCTGGCTGGCTGGCTAGCCCTGCAATATAACCCTATATCTATTTGGGCACCACTGTCAACGCACCGTTTTTACATTTACATTTTAGTCATTTAGCAGACGCTCTTATCCAGAGCGACGTACAGTTAGACCATTCGTTATTGCATAGCAAGTCATTATAGTTAGCTAGCTAACTACATAACATGCATGTGAAATGTTTTGCTGGGTGGTAAAAAATAATTGCTACACTAGTTAACGTTCGGTTTCTTACCTTTGGCGTTCGGATATGTTCCATTTCGCTGTCAGTGTATGCAACGATTCAAACAGTTGACCGGTGATATGGCTCGCACATCGACTATCAAGGTGCGGCAAGCTGATGTTACTTGATCGCTTTTTTAAACTTTGTTACCGGCATTCGTTGACCGTTCACGATTGTGTATGTTTTCAGTAGATGCTAGCTATCGGTTCTTCACAGCGCTTCCTGCTTGGGCGTACTTCTCCGCCACGGACTACAAACACACCAGACATTATGGGACATGCCGCGTTCAAAACAACTGGCAACTCGGAAAAAATGAGCTCCGACTGGGAAAAATCGATTTAAACCGTCATCCAACTCGGGCCTCTTTCTAGAGCTCCGACCTGAAGATCACTGACGTCATGATTTGACATCTTATTTTTCCGGGTTCCCAGTTGTTTTGAGTCAAGTCAGAGGACGTTCTTTCCCATTTTTGTTGTAATATTTATTAACACACTAAATAATTTAAAAACCCGTTCTCAAATGATCTAAGCACATTTTTACAACTTCACACACATTATGAGAAAATTACATTGTGGTCATTACCACTCTCAAACGCTAGATGTCCCCACATGACCGTCCAATCTGCTAAATCCTCCAGACATCACTATCCTAGCAGGCCACTGTAACCGAAAATATAGCTACATTCCGGGGTAAAGCGCGGCATCGGAAATAAGAAAACCTGTCGAGAAGGAACGTTTCAACATTTTAGTGCTGTTTATGTGCATAACTGACTATTTCAGTTTCAGATCTCGGTAAAATGTTATACGTTACTAAGCGTGAGTTGAAATAGCCGTATAGTGGTTTTTTTGTTTACCATGATTTCATAACACCAGTGTCAGACTGGGCCTCCACGCGGGTGTTTTTATCTCAAAGCTAGCTAGCGAACAACCGGCTAACTAAAGTTAGATTAAAATATTGGCCTGTTGTTAAAATAAAATGTCAGGCTTTAATTTCGGGTCTGGATCCACGAACACTGGCGGAGGGTTTTCGTTTGGAGCCGCTGCCAGGTAAGAATTGTTAGTCACGGCTGACGTAACTAGCTGATTTTATCTCCGGCATACCTATGTCGACTCAGCGTCGTTAACTTACCCAGCATGGATTGTTACCAACTAGGTAGTTAGCTAACGTTAGCTATCCAGGAGCAATAGTAATAAACCCCACTGTCAAAATGGTGACGTTAAGTAGTTTCCTAGTTAACTATATTGGATTAAAAGAGCATAACGTTACTCCTTAGTCCAAGGACCATGTTCTGTCTAAATGCCGAATTGGCTCTGGAGTGGAAGCCAAAACAGCCAAATACTCCATCTAAACGTGAGTCGATTCTCACATGCGGTACGGTTCTAGAAACATAAATCCCTCTACTTTCATATCAATAATTTCACAAATGCAAAATACACACTTACTGTTTTAACAGTTGCAGCGACAGTATTTTTCAGTGACAACATTTGTGGCATATGTCTTCCGTTGCCACAGACGTTAGGAGACGCAAATAGCTAATTAGTACAGGTAGTCCACTCTTGTCTTCCGTCCGTTTTCCGTAAACAAGCGCTGTAACATGGAAATATGGCTATGTGGGAATCCTAACCCTATAAAGGTGTATCAATTTAACCTTTTCTTTTTAGAAAATTATTTCAAGATGATATGAAAGATAAAGTCCTTATACTATCAAAACCGTACCGCAAACACCCCCCCTACAGAAGACTCCTTCCTCCAATGACTCTTATGTGTAATGGAACTGAGAGTCTTGATCAACGGCTAACTACCACGTGTTATGGATACGTCAACTACTTGTTGTGTTTCTCATCTGAAAGTGTGTGTGTTTGTGAGAGAGAGAGTCTGTGTGATCGTTTATAATCAGTGTGGGTTGTAGACTTGGGGCTTTGCTATGCCATCCTTACTATACCCATTCAACATCAGCGCAGGCAGACATTGTTTGTGACAGTGACATAACATCTGTAATATGTCCGTAAAAGGTGAGGCATACTGCATAGTCATGTAATGTTTTGTACTTCTCTCATTCCCTCTCATTGTCTCCTCACTCTCTCCTAGTACTCCATCTACAGCAGGTATGGGTGGGTTTACTCTGGGTGGAGCTCTGGGTACTGCAGCCCCCACCCCAGCCTCCACCACCACCACCTCTTCTCTGGGCCTGGGGGGGTCCCTGTTCGCACAGAAACCTACTGGGGGGTTCTCCTTTAATACTCCTGCCTCAGGTATGTACACACACATTTCAATATTGCCTGTATCTCTCCCTCTGCAGACCTGCCTCATGCTTGTTGTTTCTTCCACCAAAGCACAAAGAAATGCACAGACATCACATAGATTTATGTGTAGGTGATTATTGTAGTTATGGAGTTGTTCTTGTTTTGCTACAGGAGCTGCTGCACCCACCCAAGGCTTTACGTTAGGTGAGTTTTCTGTCAACGTAGCTACACATCTGTCATGACTTCCACGCCTACCATTGGCTGATCCCAATTTGAGCCTTAGCGTGACAAACCAATAGTTGCAGTCTCTGCAGATGAATTTGTTCTCGTTGATGTCTGTGTGCGATGATGTCATACGGTTGAATCTACCTTTAACCTCTCTCTTTTCTGTTGTCTCTCCCAGGTGTCCCAGCAACCTCTACAGCCCCCACCACAGGCTTCAGTATGGCCTTCAATAAACCCTCTGCCTCGGCCCAACCCTTCTCCCTCACTGCAGCATCCTCGGCCCCCACAGGGGCAGGACTGACGCTAGGCTCCGTCCTCACCTCCACCACTCCACATCAAGGAGCTACAGGATTTGCTCTCAACCTAGGGGGTGTAGCCGCGAGTACAGCCCCTTCCACAGGTCTATCGTTGGGTTCCAGTATGTTCTCTAACATGGCTACTACTGGTTAGTTAACTACACATCTCTGTCTGTCCTCTAACATGGCTCCTACTGGTTAGTTAACTACATCTCTGTCTGTTCTCTAACATGGCTCCTACTGGTTAGTTAACTACATCTCTATCTGTCTGTCCTCTAACATGGCTCCTACTGGTTAGTTAACTACACATCTCTATCTGTCTGTCCTCTAACATGGCTCCTACTGGTTAGTTAACTACATCTCTATCTGTCTGTCCTCTAACATGACTCCTACTGGTTAGTTAACTACATTTCTATCTGTCTGTCCTCTAACATGGCTCCTACTGGTTAGTTAACTACATCTCTATCTGTCTGTCCTCTAACATGGCTCCTACTGGTTAGTTAACTACACATCTCTATCTGTCTGTCCTCTAACATGGCTCCTACTGGTTAGTTAACTACATCTCTATCTGTCTGTCCTCTAACATGGCTCCTACTGGTTAGTTAACTACATCTCTATCTGTCTGTTCTCTAACATGGCTCCTACTGGTTAGTTAACTACATCTCTATCTGTCTGTCCTCTAACATGGCTCCTACTGGTTAGTTAACTACACATCTCTGTCTGTTCTCTAACATGACTCCTACTGGTTAGTTAACTACATCTCTCTCTGTCTGTTCTCTAACATGACTCCTACTGGTTAGTTAACTACATCTCTATCTGTCTGTCCTCTAACATGGCTCCTACTGGTTAGTTAACTACATCTCTGTCTGTTCTCTAACATGACTCCTACTGGTTAGTTAACTACATCTCTGTCTGTTCTCTAACATGACTCCTACTGGTTAGTTAACTACACATCTCTGTCTGTCCTCTAACATGACTCCTACTGGTTAGTTAACTACATCTCTATCTGTCTGTCCTCTAACATGGCTCCTACTGGTTAGTTAACTACATCTCTATCTGTCTGTCCTCTAACATGGCTCCTACTGGTTAGTTAACTACATCTCTATCTGTCTGTTCTCTAACATGACTCCTACTGGTTAGTTAACTACATCTCTATCTGTCTGTTCTCTAACATGACTCCTACTGGTTAGTTAACTACATCTCTATCTGTCTGTCCTCTAACATGGCTGCTACTGGTTAGTTAACTACATCTCTATCTGTCTGTCCTCTAACATGACTCCTACTGGTTAGTTAACTACATCTCTATCTGTCCTCTAACATGACTCCTACTGGTTAGTTAACTACATCTCTCTCTGTCTGTCCTCTAACATGACTCCTACTGGTTAGTTAACTACATCGCTCTCTGTCTGTCCTCTAACATGGCTCCTACTGGTTAGTTAACTACATCTCTATCTGTCCTCTAACATGACTCCTACTGGTTAGTTAACTACATCTCTATCTGTCCTCTAACATGACTCCTACTGGTTAGTTAACTACATCTCTCTCTCTGTCCTCTAACATGACTCCTACTGGTTAGTTAACTACATCTCTATCTGTCTGTCCTCTAACATGACTCCTACTGGTTAGTTAACTACATCTCTATCTGTCCTCTAACATGACTCCTACTGGTTAGTTAACTACATCTCTCTCTGTCTGTCCTCTAACATGGCTCCTACTGGTTAGTTAACTACATCTCTATCTGTCTGTTCTCTAACATGGCTCCTACTGGTTAGTTAACTACATCTCTCTCTGTCTGTCCTCTAACATGACTCCTACTGGTTAGTTAACTACACATCTCTGTCTGTCCTCTAACATGGCTCCTACTGGTTAGTTAACTACATCTCTCTCTGTCTGTTCTCTAACATGACTCATATTGGTTAGTTAACTACATCTCTCTCTGTCTCTGGGTCACTCATCATCCCCCTATCTCTTATCTGTATCTGTCACTACTATCCTTATTTAGAGGTAGTGTATGATCTGTCTGTTTTTTCTAATACTTTTGGTGTGTTTGTCTTAGGTCTGGGCCAGTCCACTCTGGGAGGACTGGGGTTAGCGTTAGGTTTGTATGGGACTAACACATTTGTGTGGTTGTGTTTCTGTATGTGTGTTTGTGTCAGCATGTTTATTTGTGTTAACCCTTGTGTGTGTTTCCAGGTCTGGCCCAGACCACTCTCGGATCAGGGGGGTTGATGTTAGGTTCCCTGGTCTCTACCTCCACGGGGGTCTCAGCGGCCCCCAGCCTTGGACTGGGCGGAGTTGACTTCAGCATCTCCTCAGAAAAGAAGAGCGACAAATCATCAGGGGCCAGCCCACAGTAAGTCCTACTGACTGACACCTGTCTGGACCAATAAGAGTCCACAGTGCGACCAATGACTGATTGTAGTTGCTAATTATGGTTGTCATAATGGGTTTCTGGCTCTCTCTTTCAGGGACAGTAAAGCGTTGAAAGATGAAAACTTGCCTCCAGTCATCTGTCAGGATGTAGACCACTTCCAGTAAGTGAAGAAGTCGTGCATCATCATGTGCGTGTGTCTATGCACATCTCTAACTATATCTTTGGTCATTTCTACCGTCCTGTAGGAAGTTTGTGAAGGAGCAGAAGGAGGTTCATGAGGAGATCAGCAGGATGTCTTCTAAAGCCATGCTGAAGGTTCAGGATGACATCAAGAGTCTCAAACAGCTGCTGTCTGTCAGTTCCTCGGGACTACAGAGAAACGCCCTGGCTATAGACAAACTGAAGATGGAGACCGCACAGGTACACACTCACTGAGGTCACATTGTCCTTTGAGGAATTCAGGATCAAAACACATTTTCCCTTTTAGTGTTGCTGGTCTTGATGGTCTTCTCTTTCTCCCCGTCCCCCGTCCCCCGTCTAGGAGTTGAAGAATGCAGACATAGCTCTGCGGACTCAGAAGACTCCCCCTGGACTCCAACACGAAAACGCAGCTCCGTATGAGTGAGAACTCCCATCATTGTTATATCCCCCTGAACTTACCATAGCCCTTTTTGCTTTAGGACCACATAGATTCATGAACTGCATTTTATCCCTAATAAGTTGAATCCTGTCTCTCTCTCTCTGTTTGGCTCTCTTTCTGTTTGTCTTTCTGTCTCTGTCTCTCTTTCTTTATGTCTGTCTGTCTGTCTGTCTGTGTGTGTAGTTATTTCCGGTGTTTAGTGGATCAGTTTGAGGTCCAGCTGCAGCAGTACAGACAGCAGATAGAGGAACTGGAGAATCACCTCTCTACACAAGGCAGTGGATCACACTTCACACCACAGGGTGAGACACACACCTCTCTACACAAGGCAGTGGATCACACTTCACACCACAGGGTGAGACACACACCTCTCTACACAAGGCAGTGGATCACACTTCACACCACAGGGTGAGACACACACACCTCTCTACACAAGGCAGTGGATCACACTTCACACCACAGGGTGAGACACACACACCTCTCTACACAAGGCAGTGGATCACACTTCACACCACGGGGTGAGACACACACCTCTCTACACAAGGCAGTGGATCACACTTCACACCACGGGGTGAGACACACACCTCTCTACACAAGGCAGTGGATCACAATTCACACCACAGGGTGAGACACACACCTCTCTACACAAGGCAGTGGATTACACTTTACACCACAGGGTGAGACACACACCTCTCTACACAAGGCAGTGGATCACACTTCACACCACGGGGTGAGACACACACCTCTCTACACAAGGCAGTGGATCACACTTCACACCACAGGGTGAGACACACACCTCTCTACACAAGGCAGTGGATCACACTTCACACCACAGGGTGAGACACACACACCTCTCTACACAAGGCAGTGGATCACACTTCACACCACAGGGTGAGACACACAGACTCATGACTCTTCATACTGTGTGTGTTTGTGTCTTTCTGTCTTTGTATTGTGTGTATAGATCTGTCGCTGGCCATGCAGAAGTTGTACCAGACGTTTGTGTGTCTGGCTGCTCAGCTCCAGTCAGTACATGAGAACGTCAAGGTAAGTCCTCCAGGTCACTAACAACATCACTGTTGACTGCTCTGTGACAAATCATCAAGAGCTACAGAAATAAAGTATTTTGAATGAAGTGATTGAGGTTCATTCTCCGTGGTGTCTGGAGATGAAGTGATTGAGGTTCTTCCTCTGTGGTAGATCCTGAAGCAGCAGTACCTGGGATACCGCCGGGCCTTCCTGGAGGACTCCACAGATGTTTTTGAGTCCAAGCGGGTGGCCAGTAAGAAGTGGAAGAGCGCCCCACGCATCACCATCGGCCCCGCCCCGTTCAGCAGTGTCCCTAACGCGGCAGCGGTCGCCATGGCAGCCACGCTGAGCCAGCAGCAGCCCGGACCAGGTCTGAACTCCGCCTTCAAGTTCTAGAACCCTGACCCCTCATCTTTGACCTTTCACCTTACCAACCCTTCAGTCTGACAGAGGGAGGGGAGGAGGGAGACTGAGGGGGATAGAGGAGAATGAAAAGCAATGTAGCCAAACTTTTTGTTTGGTTTCTTTTCTTTCTCCGGAGAGCTGGAGGATCAGAAGAAGAACATCTGAAAGCAGCATAGCAAGCGCCAAACCCTTTTCAGTTATTTCCCCCTGTGGTTTGGCGCTATAGGTTATAGGTGTGTGGAGTTATCATGAGTGTCTCTAGCAGGCTCTTCGTTGAAAACGCCTGTCCATAAACCTAGCAACCATTATTCGGCAGGTAGCCCAGCGGTTAGAACGTTGGGCCAGTAACCGAAAGGTCGCTAGTTTGAATCCCCAAGCTGGAAAGGTGAAAAATCGGACCCTACTTGATAATGGCATACCTTGACCTTGACCCTTCTCTTGGGGAGAGTTGGGATATGCAAAAAAAAAAAAACATTTCCAATTCAAGAGAAGCACTTAGCATTACCTCAGTGGGGCTTTTTCCTCTACTGGAGAAAAGGAGGGATGGGAACTAAAATGAAAGCGTGTGGAGATTACTGGAGATGAGACGGAAAGGTAGTACTCATTCACAGCTCTCAGATCTGTCCCAGACAGACTCTAGAATATAATCCTTTAAATAACTGAACCTGGAGGCTGCAATGTCTTTGGGTTCAGTCTCAATTTTAATATATATTTAATGACGGTACTTTGTTGTGTAGCTGAAATAGTTTGGTTTATTGAGAATAAAATATCTTAGTATGGAGTGGTATAATGTGGTGGTGCCAAGTGAGTGTGATCTGTCATCCGTTAGGTGTCCAAAATCGGTTTAGTTCGAAAATTGGGTCAACTGTTTTTTTAGGGGGATTGTACAAACTGGTTTAAATGAGGACCACAGTGTGTGTGTTTTCTAAAACAGTGAAGTTGCTTTCACTATGTGGTAGCAGTCTGCCTTGATACACACTTAGAAGTTAGACTGACAGTGTATCGCACATGTCAAACTCATTCCACGGAGGGCCGAGTGTCTGCGGGTTTTCGCACATCCCTTGTACTTGATTGATGAATTAAGGTCACTAATTAGTAAGGAACTCCCCTCACCTGGTTGTCTAGGTCTTAATTGAAATGACAAACCAAAAACCTGCAGACACTGGGCCCTCCATGGAATGAGTTTGACACCCCTGGTGTATAGCAGGGGTATTCAACTCTTACCCTACGAGGTCCGGAGCCTGCTGGTTTTCTGTTCTACCTGATAGTTAATTGCACACACCTGGTGTCCCAGATCTAAATCAGTCCCTGATTAGAGGGCAACAATGGAAAAACACAGTGGAACTGGCTTCGTGGTCCAGAGTTGAGTTTGAGGGGTGTATAGCCTAGTGCAGGGCTGCCCAAACCTCTTCCTGGCAATCTACCGTCCTGTGGGTTTTCAGTCCAACCCTAATTTAACACACCTGATTCTACTTATTAGCTGCTCAACAAGACCTTAACTAGCTGAATCAGATACGCTAAGTTAGGGTTGGACTGAAAACCTACAGGACAGTAGATCTCCAGGAAGAGGGTTGGACTGAAAACCTACAGGACAGTAGATCTCCAGGAAGAGGGTTGGACTGAAAACCTACAGGACAGTAGATCTCCAGGAAGAGGGTTGGACTGAAAACCTACAGGACAGTAGATCTCCAGGAAGAGGGTTGGACTGAAAACCTACAGGACAGTAGATCTCCAGGAAGAGGGTTGGACTGAAAACCTACAGGACAGTAGATCTCCAGGAAGAGGGTTGGACTGAAAACCTACAGGACAGTAGATCTCCAGGAAGAGGGTTGGACTGAAAACCTACAGGACCGTAGATCTCCAGGAAGAGGGTTGGACTGAAAACCCACAGGACAGTAGTTCTCCAGGAAGAGGGTTGGACTGAAAACCTACAGGACAGTAGATCTCCAGGAAAAGGGTTGGACTGAAAACCTCCAGGACAGTAGATCTCCAGGAAGAGGGTTGGACTGAAAACCTCCAGGACAGTAGATCTCCAGGAAGAGGGTTGGACTGAAAACCTACAGGACAGTAGATCTCCAGGAAGAGGGTTGGACTGAAAACCTACAGGACAGTAGATCTCCAGGAAGAGGGTTGGACTGAAAACCTACAGGACAGTAGATCTCCAGGAAGAGGGTTGGACTGAAAACCTACAGGACAGTAGATCTCCAGGAAGAGGGTTGGGCAGCACTGGTCTAAACCAGTGGTTCCCAACCAGGGGTACTTGGACTATCCACAGGGGGTACTTGAGAAGACTCCACGGAGTCCATAGGGTTACTGGTAAAATGCACATGAGGGGGTACTCCGGGCAGAGCAAAATTCAGTTGGTGGTACAGTAACCGAAAAAGGTTGGCAACCACTGTTCTAAACCACGTGTCAAACTCATTCCACGGAGGGCCGAGTGTCTGCGGGTTTTCACTCCTCCCTTGTACTTGATTGATGAATCAAGGTCACTAATTAGTAAGGAACTCCCCTCACCTGGTTGTCTAGGTCTTAATTGAAATGACAAACCAAAAACATGCAGACACTAGGCCCTCCGTGGAATTTGACACTCCTGGTCTAAACACACACTTCTACCTGACAGTCCATCCGACTTTGAATTTATCACTATGCATTCTACAATAACCTTTTGAGATAATGATTGTGATTTTAACAGTATTTCCTACACACACTATTTAACACTGGCGGGCGCTCTACCATGTAGGCCTAGCTAGCCCAAGGAAATAGATAGCAGAGGGGCTGATGACAGTCTGTACAGAGGGAACCTAGTTTTCTTTAGTTTCATGATCCATTCTATTTAATAGAAGGGCTTCAGTGTTAATACACCACTCGCTAGTTTAGCAGGGGAGAGACGGTGAACTTGCTGCTCGTACCGACTGCTTGGGGAAGGGCAGTGGGATCATTAGTGCCAAGAATCAGAATTTTTCTGTATTCCGAGTGACAATTTGTGCTCTGAGATTAACCAACTGCTGCTCTGGACTGACCTGTCTGTCTGTCCACCATCTCACGCTAACGTTCCAGAACCACTCTGGAACTCTGAATATTCTAGAATGAGTAGATAATGTGGAACTGGAACTCATAGATTAGTTCTGGAACTCTGTGATTGGTTCTGAAACTCATAGGGCTGCTGCAGATGGCAGACTTCCATTAGTGTAACAGTGATGGCTAACTGGACTGATGAATCTTGGGACTTTTTGAGGGCTTCTATGAGATCAGAAGACTGGTAGTGGTTGGACTGACTGGCTGAGAGACTGTCCCTCCACTCGGTGTTCAGACTCAGAGCTAGCTACATAGAGCCAGGGGAGGTGCTCTGGGATGTAGTATGTTCAACACTGGTGGTATTGACTGGGGAGGTGTAGTTTCCCTACTGGATCAGTTTACTAACACAGATGCCAATTCTGGGGCCTGTTCTGGAGGGTTTGATGTTACAGAACGTTCAGATAGAAATGTGTTCTGTTTAGAGCTGATATGATTCTCATGTAGAATAGGGAATCATGTCGGCTCTATTCATTACATTTCTATCTGCAACGTATAGAACACGTCACATCACTGAACACACCCCTCATCTTCACTCTGATTCAGAGTGCATTTGTTTAGAACAATGTGTTTACTATATATATATATATATATATATATATATATATATACCAGTCAAAGGTTTGGACAAACCTACTCATTCAAGGATTTTTATTTTCTTTTTACTATTTTCTATGTTGTAGAATAATAGTGAAGACATCAAAACTATGAAATAACACATATGGAATCATGTAGTAACCAAAAAAAGTGTTAAACAAATCAAAATATATTTAAGATTCTTCAAAGTAGTCACCCTTTGCCTTGATGACAGTTTTGCACACTCTTGGCATTCTCTCAACCAGCTTCATTAGGTAGTCACCTGGAATGCATTTCAATTAACAGGTGTGCCTTGTTAAAAGTTAATTTGTGGAATTTCTTTCCTTCTTAATGCGTTTGAGACAATCAGTTGTGTTGTGACAAGGTAGGGGGGGTATACAGAAGATAGCCCTATTTGGTAAAAGACCAAGTCCATATTATGGCAAGAACAGCTCAAATAAGCAAAGAGAAACGACAGTCCATCATTACTTTAAGACATGAAGGTCAGTCAATCTGGAAAATCTCAAGAACTTTGAACGTTTCTTCAAGTGCAGTCGCAAAAAACCTCCAGCGCAATGATGAAACTGGCTCTCATGGGGACCGCCACAGGAATGGAAGACCCAGAGTTACCTCTGCTGCAGAGGATAAGTTCATTAGAGTTACCAGCCTCAGAAATTGCAGCCCAAATAAATGCTTCACAGAGTTCAAGTAACATACACATCTCAACATCAACTGTTCAGAGGAAACCGTGTGAATCAGGCCTTCATGGTCGAATTGCTGCAAAGAAACCACTACTAAAGGACACCAATAATAAGAAGATACTTGCTTGGGACATGAAACATGAGCAATGGACATTAGACCGGTGGAAATCTGTCCTTTGGTCTGGAGTCCAAATTGGAGATCTTTGGTTCAAACCGCCATGTCTTTGTGAGACGCGATGTGGGTGAATGGATGATCTCCGCATGTGTATTTCCCACCATAAAGCATGGAGGAGGAGGTGTTATGGTGTGGGGGTGCTTTGCTGGTGACACTGTCTGTGATATATTTAGAATTCAAGGCACACTAAACCAGCATGGCTACCACAGCATTCTGCAGCGATACGCCATCCCATCTGGTTTGGGCTTAGTGGAACTATCATTTGTTTTTCAACAGGACAATGACCCAACACACCTCCAGGCTGTGTAAGGGCTATTTTACCAAGAAGGAGAGTGATGGAGTGCTGCATCAGATGACCTGGCCTCCACAATCCCCCGACCTCAACCAAATTGAGATGGTTTGGGATGAGTCGGACCGCAGAGTGAAGGAAAAGCAGCCAACAAGTGCTTAGCATATGTGGGAACTCCTTCAAGACTGTTGGAAAAGCATTCCTCATGAAGCTGGTTGAGAGAATGCCAAGAGTGTGCAAAGCTGTCATCAAGGCAAAGGGTGGCTATTTGAAGAATCGCAACTATAAAATATATATATTTTTTACTTTGGTTGCTACATGATTCCATATGTGTTATTTCATAGTTTTGATGTTTTCTATTATTCTACAATGTAGAAAATAGTAAAAAATAAAGAAAAACCCTGAGTAGGTGTTCTAAAACTTTTGACCGGTTGTGTGTGTGTGTGTGTGTGTGTGTATATATATATATATATATATATCTCCAATGCTTGTTGTTGTTGATGATGCATATATCTGACACTATATAATATTGTGTGCCTTTTGAAACTTGACATATTAATAATTGTTTGCGATGCATTTTTTTTCTGGCACATGCTAGTTCCTTCACTCTTGGAATCTTGAACCTTGAAAACGTATCAAATACAACCATAGCAGCTAGGAATTAGCAATCGGTTGTGTCCTTTAACTGTGTCTGTTTTATGTAAGTGGAATTACTTTCATTTGACAATAAATCAGTTTTTAAAGGAGCGACCTTGTCCTTGTTTCTTTTTGACTGGTAAATCACAGATTTTAGAAAACCCAATTAGATCTAAGATAATTAACTAATACGATAGCTGAGGCTGCAACTCCAAAATCAAATTTGAGAACCGCTAAAAAGAAACAAGACTGGTGCCCTGAGGTTCAGAGTGAAAGTACTAGCAGCCATGTTTCTACCACACCAGAGTGATGCTGAGACTCCGATTCTTCCAAAATGGATGTCAAACAAAAACCAATGATTGCAAAGTTAAACAAACCATACAGCTCTATGCACAAGGACGACTTGACAATTTCCACTGCTTCTGTACTGTTCAAGTACAGCGCATCCGGAAAGTATTCAGACCCTTTTACTTTTTCCACATTTTGTTCCGTTACAGCCCTATTCTAAAATTGATTACATTGTTTTTTCCCCTCATTAATCTACACACAATACCCCATAATGACAAAGCAAAAACAGATTTGTAGAAATGTGTGCTAATTTAAAAATAAATAAATAACTGAAATCACATTTACATAAGTATTCAGACCCTTTACTCAGTACTTTGTTGAAGCACCTTTGGCAGCTCGTCTTCTTGGGTTTGACGCTACAACTTTGGTACACCTGTATTTGGGGAGATTCTTCTCTGCAGATCCTCTCAAGCTCTGTCAGGTTGGATGGTGAGCGTCGCTGCACAGCTATTTTCAGGTCTCTCCAGAGATGTTCGATTGGGTTCAAGTCCTGGCTCTGGCTGGGCCACTCAAGGACATTCAAAGACTTGTCCCAAAGCCACTCCTGCATTGTCTTGGCTGTGTGCTTAGGGTCGTTGTCCTGTTGGAAGGTGAACCTTCGCCCAAGTCTGAGGTCCTGAGTGCTCTGGAGCAGGTTTTCATCAAGGATCTCTCTGTACTTTGCTCCGTTCATCTTACCCTTGATCCTGACTAGTCTCCCAGTCCCTGCCGCTGATAAAGATCACCACAGCATGATGCTGCCACCACCATGCTTCACCATAGGGATGGTGCCAGGTTTCCTCCAGACGTGACGCTTGGCATTCAGGCCAAAGAGTTTAATCTTGGTTTCATCAGACCAAAAAACCTTGTTACTCATGGTCTGAGTCCTTTAGGTGCCTTTTGGCAAACTCAAAATGGGCTGTCATGTGCCTTTTTACTGAGGAGTGGCTTCCGTCTGGCCACTCTACCATAAAGGCCTGATTGGTGGAGTGCTGCAGATGGTTGTCTTTCTGGGAGGTTCTCCCATCTCCACAGAGGAACTCTGGCGCTCTGTCAGAGTGACCATCAGGTTCTTGTTCACCTCCCTGACCAAGGCCCTTCTCCCCCGATTGCTCAGTTTGGCCGGGCGGCCAGCTCTAGGAAGTCTTGGTGGTTGCAAACTTCTTCCATTTAAGAATGTTCTTGGGGACCTTCAATGCTGCAGAAATGTTTTGGTACCCTTCCCCAGATCTGTGCCTTGACACAATCCTGTCTCGGAGCTCTACGGACAATTCCTTCGACCTCATGGCTTGATTTTTGCTCTGACATGCACTGTCAACTGTGGGACCTTATATAGACAGGTGTGTGCCTTTCCAAATCATTCCAGATCAGCTCAATTTTGAGTCTCATAGCAAAGGGTCTGAATACTTTTGTTAAGGTATTTCAGTGTTTTAGTTTTTTAATTGCAAAGTTTTCAAAAAACCTGTTTGCTTTCTCATTATGGGGTATTGTGTGTAGATTGATGAGGCAAAAAATTAATTTAATCAATTTTCGAATAAGGCTGTAACGTAACAAAATGTGGAAAAAGGGAAGGGGTCTGAATACTTTCCGAATGCACTGTCAATGCCGTTTTGTAAAATGTTTAGTGGAAATGGTTAAAAGTCGTCCGTGTGCATAGAGTTGTATGGTTTGTTTAACTTTGCTATCATTGTTTTTTGTTTGACATCCATTTAGAAAAATCTGAGTCTCAGCATCACTCTGTTACCGTGGAATTGCCCTTTACCATTTGATCTGTGAAAATTGATCCACAGTCGCATAGTTACATTATCACTAATAAATAGCCTATCTGTAGTGATTAGGTACATCAAGAGGTACAACTTAGATGTGATCATAAGGTTAGTGTTGGGAGGAGATGAGTTTGGGCTTAGTGAAGTCTGAGAAGACTACCGTAGTCTTATGAACTGTAATATAGAAGCACTAATCCACAGGGTCCTGTTCACACTCTCAGCCAATACCACCACTTGACATTGCAGAGGAGAGGGGGAACTTGACTTCAGTAACAGACAGTCTCTTAGTACAGAGGAGTAAGCTGTGTTCTCTCTGTCTGTCTCAGGGAGCCAGGTGCCCCTGGGGTCTGGCTTGGGAAACCCCTTTGCCTCGGGAGTGGGCTCTAGCTTGGGCTCATCAGGCCTCGGAGGTACTACCTCTCATCCCCATCCATCTATCTCTTCCTCCTGCTTTTTACTATCCCCCTGTTTCTCACCATCTCTTGATCTCTTTCTTTTTCTCTCTCTAACTTCCTCTGTTCCTCACCCTCTCTTCCCTCTGTTCCTCACCCTCTCTTCCCTCTGTTCCTCACCCTCTCTTCCCTCTGTTCCTCACCCTCTCTTCCCTCTGTTCCTCACCCTATCTTCCCTCTGTTCCTCACCCTCTCTTCCCCCTCCTCGTGTGTAGGACTGGTGGCAGTATTAGGGAATGGATGTGTTGAGTTTTTAAGCTCTTCACTATCTAGGGCTGAAACAGTCTGCCTGTAGCTGTGGTGTGGTGTGGGTCTCTATGCTTTACTCTCTTCATTGGATACCTGCTGCTCTTTCCTCATTGGTCTACTATCAGTATACCCTGTTTGGATACCAGCTGCTCTTTCCTCATTGGTCTACTCTCAGTATACCCTGTTTGGATACCAGCTGCTCTTTCCTCATTGGTCTACTCTCAGTATACCCTGTTTGGATACCAGCTGCTCTTTCCTCATTGGTCTACTCTCAGTATACCCTGTTTGGATACCAGCTGCTCTTTCCTCATTGGTCTACTCTCAGTATACCCTGTTTGGATACCAGCTGCTCTTTCCTCATTGGTCTACTGTCAGTATACCCCGTTTGGATACCAGCTGCTCTTTCCTCATTGGTCTACTCTCAGTATACCCCGTTTGGATACCAGCTGCTCTTTCCTCATTGGTCTACTCTCAGTATACCCTGTTTGGATACCAGCTGCTCTTTCCTCATTGGTCTACTCTCAGTATACCCTGTTTGGATACCAGCTGCTCTTTCCTCATTGGTCTACTCTCAGTATACCCTGTTTGGATACCAGCTGCTCTTTCCTCATTGGTCTACTATCAGTATACCCTGTTTGGATACCAGCTGCTCTTTCCTCATTGGTCTACTCTCAGTATACCCTGTTTGGATACCAGCTGCTCTTTCCTCATTGGTCTACTCTCAGTATACCCTGTTTGGATACCAGCTGCTCTTTCCTCATTGGTCTACTCTCAGTATACCCTGTTTGGATACCAGCTGCTCTTTCCTCATTGGTCTACTCTCAGTATACCCTGTTTGGATACCAGCTGCTCTTTCCTCATTGGTCTACTGTCAGTATACCCCGTTTGGATACCAGCTGCTCTTTCCTCATTGGTCTACTCTCAGTATACCCTGTTTGGATACCAGCTGCTCTTTCCTCATTGGTCTACTCTCAGTATACCCTGTTTGGATACCAGCTGCTCTTTCCTCATTGGTCTACTCTCAGTATACCCTGTTTGGATACCAGCTGCTCTTTCCTCATTGGTCTACTCTCAGTATACCCTGTTTGGATACAAGCTGCTCTTTCCTCATTGGTCTACTCTCAGTATACCCTGTTTGTGAGTGAGTCATTACAGAGGCTTAACTCCCTCTCTTTCTCACACACCCTTGCAGTTAGTGTGTGTGTGTCCATGAAGGTAAACTCTCCCCCTCTGTCATGTAGTAGAAGCAGAGTTAGTGTGTGTCTTACTAAAGTTTGTCTCCCTCCCTCTCTCTCTCTCTCTCCTGCAGTGTTTGGTGGGGGTCCAGGTTTCGGGGGGGTTGCGACGGGGGGCTCATTTGGTTTCTCCTCCGCCAGCAAGCCCTCGGGAGGGAGCCTGAGCGCAGGTACACACACTCGCCACACCACATCTCACCACACGTCACCTCACCACACCACACCTCACCTCACCTCGTGCAAGCTCTCTTGAGGGAGTCTCAGCAGACACACCCTGTGAGCATACTCACACTCTCTCTCTCTCTCTCTCTCTCTCTCTCCAGGTTTTGGTAGCAGCAGTAGTAGTTCAGGGTTTAACTTCAGTAACCCCGGCCTCAACGCGTCTGCAGGCCTGACGTTTGGCGTCTCCAACCCTCCCGCCACGGGCTTCGGCACGGGAGGTCCACTGCTGCAGCTCAAGAAGCCCCCGGTGGGAAACAAGAGGGGCAAGAGATAGACTGAGGAGCAAAGGGGACGGTGGGGTTACGGTTAGGATTTGGGGAGGGTAAGCTGATCCTAGATCTGTGACTTCCAGAACTGTCCAGGTTTGTATAATGGGTCCATCTTAGATGGTTTTGGGGAGGGTACGTTTACTCTAGATCTGTGCCTAAGGGCGACTTCTAGAGCTGTCCAGGGGAGGTGGTGGTGGCGGGGGTAACAGTCTGTCCCAGATCTCTATTTTTATATCAGACGGGGAGCGTAGGGTTTGAGGGAGGGGGTGAGGTAGGAGCAGGATGGAGGGAGTAGAGAGGTATAACTAGTTTCAACAAACAGTTGAAACCGATCAGCACATTTGGAGAAGTTTCATTGCCTGTGTTTTATTTTTAAACCTCATTATTGTTTCATCATGATTGTTTGTTTTCGTTTTTTTATACACTCTGTAAGTGTGTTTGTTGCGTGTGCGACGTGTGTGTGTGTGTGTGTGTGTGTGTGTGTGTGTGTGTGTGTGTGTGTGCGTGCATGTAAGGGAGAGAACTTGGCCATGCTGAATGTCCCACATGGCCCTCCGTACAAGTTAGAACCTGAAAGGGATTGTTCATAACCATAATTGGAAATAACCTCTGTACCAGAACTGAATTGTGTGTGCGTCTCAGTCAATAGACCATTGTCTTGTTGTAGGGTGGGTGGAGGATGATTCTATTGCGGTCTGCTTTTCAGTTGTCTATTCTGATTCTCTGTTACCAAATAGTGATGCCATTATATTTTCTATTCATCTGAGGTGATAAGGGTAAACTTGTATTTTCAAACAGCAGTTTAATAATAAAAGTATTGATGTTGATGATTCTTTGCCTTTGTATGTCTGTGTTTTTGTTTAAATGTTTCTCTTCTGAGCAGACAGAGGATGTCCATGTATCAAGGGTAAACGGTGTCCTTGGGATGTCAACCCGTTGATGTTTAAATGTAAAAGGTTAGGGTTAGGGCACAGATGGAACAAGAAGCTATGGTTAGTTATAAAAAATAATATATTAGTTATAAATAAACAAGGAACAAGGGTTAGTTATAAATGTATTTGGTTAGGGTTTAGGGTAGGTAAGTCCCAAGGACCCCGGATTGCACAACATTGGTAGGCCTGAACAGATGACGATGAGGCAGCCTATAGGGATGTCACAGACCTGGCAGTGTGGTGCCAGGACAACAACCTCTCCCTCAATGTCAAAAAGACAATGCGAGCACGCCCCCCTCCACATCGATGGGGCTGTGGTGGAGCTTGTCGAGATCTTCAAGTTCCTCGGTGTCCACATCACTAAGGACCTATCATGGTCCACACACACCAACATAGTCGTGAAGAGGGCACAACAACACCTTATCCCCCTCAGGAGGCTGAAAAGATTTGGCATGGGCCCTCAGATCCTCAAAAAGTTATACAGCTTCACAATTAAGAGCATTTTGACTGGCTGCATCAACGCTTGGTACAGCAACTGCAAGGCACCCGACCACAATGCACTACAGAGGGTGGTGAGTACGGCCCAGTACATCATTGGGGCCAAGCTCCCTGCCATCCAGGACCTCTATACCAGGCGGTGTCAGAGGAAGGCCCAAGAAATTCAGACTCCAGCCACCCAAGCCATAGACTGTTCTCTCTGCTACCCCATGTCAAGCGGTACCAGTGCACTAAGTCTGGAACCAACAGGACCCTGAACAGCTTCTACCCCCAAGCCATAAGGCCATAGCCGCAGCAAAAATCAGAAGAAGGAAAAAATAGTAATTTTTGAAAATATTTGTTCACAAAAGTAGTGCACTGGGCCTTTACTAGTATTAGCGGACCGATTATAGACTTCTGGAGCGCAAACAAAAAAAACTGCATCTCCACTTTGGCAAAAAAGGTAGTTATATAATTAAGAATAGTCTCTTGCAGGATTCAATAGTTGGAATTGTAATAGTTGTTGCCCTGTCCCTTTCTCTGCAATTGTCATTCTAATAGAATCCAGAAAGAACAAAACCCTGTCCTCAAACATTTACATAAAAAGGTGCAAAGTTATGGGCTAAGATAAAACATCCACATCAAATTAAATATTTTTCTTGATCAAAAAACATGGAAAACAACCACTTGTGCTGTATTAATTTACCATCCCTACAAACCACTTAATGTAAATGTACATAGGCTGGTCATCTAGGTTTGTACCTGTAGACCTTCTATCACCATGAAGAAAAACAATGCACAATACAGTAATTGAGTACATTAAGACATCAAGTGGTTTGTGACGATGTGATGTGATGATGTGGCTCAGTTGCTAGGGTTGTGGGTTGGATTCCCAAAGGGGACCAGTACGAAAAAGTATGAAAATGTATTCACTCACTACTGTAAGTTGCTCTGGATAAGAGCGTCTGCTAAAATGGAAAAGGAATGAATAGACCATTTCAGTTTCCACATAGAAATAAGTTGCAAAGTATTTAAAGAAACTGGAAAACATATATCAAGCAAGTATTTTTATATTCCACAAGTATTATCACATTAACTGTTTTGTACACTCAAATAGGCCTATGTTTAGTTTAAACATTTTCACAAAAGTAGTGCACCGAGCCTTAAGTAGTACTGTATTGGTGGACAGATATAGGCGTCTTCAGCCCTGGCAATTTTTTGCGTGTTGTTTTTACTCCTTAATGTTATTCGTGTATTTATTCCTCGTGTCACTTTATATTTGTATTATATTTTTGTTATTTATCTTTAACTTTGCATTGTTTGGAAAAGGACCCATAAGTAAGCATGTGACTGTCTACACCTGTTGTTTACAAGCATGTGACAAATACAATTTGATTTGACTAAGCATGTATCAAGTGTTTGGACAGAACGGTTTGGAATTACACTCCTCAGTAAGGAAAGTAGCTATTGGCTGTCCTAAAAGTCACTAGAAGTCGCTAAATGACGTCATCGCATAATTGGCCATGTGCATGTAATTGTGATGGATGCTGTAGAAGATTGAAATAACGTCGTGGGAGAGACAAAAAGTGAGTAAAAAAACACCCTACATTTACATCCTGCCCTGAATATAAGCCAGGGCGGGATCAGCCAGCGGCGGCTTCCCGCATGCAGGATTCATATGTGGAGGGGTGAACATCTCCTGCTCTGACTGCAGCTGGGAGGGACTGCTGCACGAGAACTGGGCCGCCTGTGAGTGCTTTGGGACGGGGGTGGTGAGTGCTTTGGGACGGGGGTGGTGAGTGCTTTGGGACGGGGGTGGGGAGTGCTTTGGGACGGGGGTGGGGAGTGCTTTGGGACGGGGGTGGGGAGTGCTTTGGGACGGGGGTGGTGAGTGCTTTGGGACGGGGGTGGGGAGTGCTTTGGGACGGGGGTGGGGAGTACTTTGGGACGGGGGTGGGGAGTACTTTGGGACGGGGGTGGGGAGTGCTTTGGGACTGGGGTTTGGGACTGGGACGGGGACGGGGACGGGCCCCACGGCAGCACCCGCTGCTCGTTGAGAAGAGTAAGAACGATACGTGCTTTCAAGTCATAGTCTCCAATAACATCAGAAAAAGTCGCTAGATTTGTCGCTAGAGTGGTCTGAAAATTCGCTAAATATAGCGACAAAGTCACTAAATTGGCAACACTGTTTGGAAAGATGCTCTGCTGTTTGCCTTTGTTTGCAATGCCAACCGGTGGTTGAACAAAGTAATGACATCTTTCGGGTCCAATCATCGAGGGTTCCTGTTGCTATGTGACGTTGGCAGCAAACGTTAAGTTGCTATGGATTGAAAATGAAGTTGTCCGGTCCCTAAACCAAATCAACTTTTTATATCGTTTTAGCAAATTAACTCTTACTTGTGTATTTATTTTTTATCACCAAGCAAGATATTCGATTCAGTATTCAGGTAAGAGTTTTTGTAGTAACTAAATTGATGATACGACTTTGTCAGCCATCTTTTATGTCTGCTAAACGTTAGGCTGTCATCTCATTTTTGTGGTTGGCTAGCTAACGTTAGCTCGTCTTTTACAATATTGTCTGCTGTAATGATGGGCACAAAACATTGGCTATAGTTTATACTAATGTTAGATTGATTATCACATCTTGAAAACTATGAATAACATTTAATATCCACTATATTTCCCAGCAATGCCTCCTCCAGATACTATGTACTGTGCACAGCAAATCAACATCCCCCCAGAACTACCAGACATTCTCAAACAGTTCACCAAAGCTGCAATCAGAACTCAACCCAATGACATACTACAGTGGTCTGCAGCGTAAGTACAGCCTCCCTGGATGTGACTGTACTACCAAGAGAGGCCAGCTTGTATGGTTCAGGTGCTAGTAACTACCCAGTTGCTGAGCAGGGATAATGGACAGGGTAAAGTACAATTATTGTTCCGTTTAAATGTTTCTGTTCTATCAGGTACTTCTCTGCCCTGTCCAAAGGAGACACTCTGCCAGCCAAGGATAGGCTGGAGATGCCTGTCGCCACACAGAAGACTGATACTGGATTGACTCCAGGCCTGCTTAAGGTCCTACACAAACAGGTACTCACTGACTGACACATTGATCCCAGGTGTGCTGAAAGTCCTGCACAAACCTTCCCATCCTCTCCTCCTCTATGGTAGGATATTAAGGTACCTCTCTCGCTCCCTGTATGTCGCTGGCTTCTATTGTTGTAAAAATAAATCTGTCTCCCGCCTCTTTCTCCCTCCTCTCTGTCCATGTGAATGTAGCTGGCCCCTAAGGAGACGATCGGTAAGGAGGAGCTGCAGCAGAAGTGGAAGGGTCTGTGTCTGCCCTCAGAGCAGCTGGACACTCTGCTGGTCCTGGGGAACTTCAGCGACAACATCCACTGGATGCAGTTCTTCGCCCTGGGCTGCAGCGCTCTGGGAGGGGTGAGTGCCTGGCTCCGATATCTGTCTCAGTCTCCAGAGAGAAACTGTGGTGTAGTTCTTGCAAATTCCACATGATGGCAGTATTGTACTGTCTTGATGGCCCAGGCTTTTCTGAAGTGTGTGTGTGTGTGTGTGTGCGTGAGCTCCCTGTGTGTGAATGCGCGTGCGTGCTCCCTGTGTGTGTGTGCGCCCTGTATGTGTGTTCAGACCATCATCAGTGCCCTGAAGTATGCGTGTGAGATCCTGACGGAGAATGAGGAGGGTGGAGCGGCGAGGATCCCCTTTGATACGTTCGTAGGGCTGTACACTTACCTGGCCCACCTGGATGGAGAGATCCCCCAGGACCAGATAGACAGCTTCCTAAGCAGCCTGCAGGAGCCTGTGTGAGTGGTACACTACCCTACACTCTCTCTATTGATCTACACTCTCGCTAATTTCCTACAATTCTACACATTTTGCCATGACTTATGCCATGTTAATATGATATCTGAGTGAGAGTGGCTAACAAAATCAATTGGGGCCCCCTGGAGGTCAGGGCCCCTGGGCACGTTAGCTGACATGGGCTAATTGAGTGACTGACATAACAAGAGAAACTGCTGATCTTTCTCTCTACCTTTCTCTCTACCTCCCCCTTTCTCTCTACCTTTCTCTCTACCCCTTTCTCTCTACCTCCCCCTTTCTCTCTACCTCTACCTCTCTCTACCTCTACCTCTCTCTCTACCTTTCTCTCTACCTCTCTCACTCTCTACCTCTCTCTACCTCTCTCTACCTCTACCTCTCTCTACCTCGCTCTAAAGAGGAACTATAACATGTGAAAGCCCTACAGTGGCTTGCGAAAGTATTCACCCCCTTGGCATTTTTCCTATTTTGTTGCCTTACAACCTGGAATTAAAATGGATTTTTTTCGGGGTTTGTATCATTTTTTATTTTATTTTATTTATTTATTTCACCTTTATTTAACCAGGTAAGCCAGTTGAGAACAAGTTCTCATTTACAACTGCGACCTGGCCAAGATAAAGTAAAGCAGTGCGATTAAAAACAACAACACAACATTTACACAACATGCCTACCACTTTGAAGATGCAAAATATTTTTTTTGTGAAACAAACAAGAAATTAGACCAAAAAAACAGAACTTGAGCGTGCATAACTATTCACCCCCCCCCCCCCCCCCCCCCCCCCCCCAACGTCAATAATTTGTAGAGCCACCTTTTGCAGCAATTACAGCTGCAAGTCTCTTGGGGTATGTCTCTATAAGCTTGGCACATCTAGCCACTGGGATTTATGCCCATTCTTCAAGGCAAAACTGCTCCAGCTCCTTCAAGTTGGATGGGTTCCGCTGGTGTACAGCAATCTTTAAGTCATACCACAGATTGTCAATTGGATTGAGGTCTGGGCTTTGACTAGGCCATTCCAAGACATTTAAATGTTTCCCTTTAAACCACTCAAGTGTTGCTTTAGCAGTATGCTTAGGGTCATTGTCCTGCTGGAAGGTGAACCTCCGTCCCAGTCTCAAATCTCTGGAAGACTGAAACAGGTTTCCCTCAAGAATTTCCCTGTATTTAGCGCCATCCAACAATCCTTCAATTCTGACCAGTTTCCCAGTCCCTGCCGATGGGAAAAACATCCCCACAGCATGGTGCTGCCACCACCATGCTTCACTGTGGGGATGGTGTTCTCTGGGTGACGAGAGGTGTTGGGTTTACGCCAGACATAGCGTTTTCCTTGATGGCCAAAAAGCTCAATATTAGTCTCATCTGACCAGAGTACCTTCTTCCATATGTTTGGGGAGTCTCCCACATGCCTTTTGGCGAACACCAAACGTGTTTGCTTATTTTATTCTTAAAGCAATGGCTTTTTTCTGGCCACTCTTCCGTAAAGCCCAGCTCTGTGGAGTGTACGGCTTAAAGTGGTGCTATGGACAGATAATCCAATCTCCGCTGTGGCGCTTTGCAGCTCCTTCAGGGTTATCTTTGGTCTCTTTGTTGCCTCTCTGATTAATGCCCGCCTAGCCTGGTCCATGAGTTTTGGTGGGCGGCCCTCTCTTGGCAGGTTTGTTGTGGTGCCATATTCTTTCCATTTTTTAATAATGGATTTAATGGTACTCCGTGGGATGTTCAAAGTTTCGGATATTTTTTTATAACCCAACCCTGATCTGTACTTCTCCACAACTTTGTCCCTGACCTGTTTGGAGAGCTCCTTGGTCTTCATGGTGCCGCTTGCTTGGTGGTGCCCCTTGCTTAGTGGTGTTGCAGACTCTGGGGCCTTTCAGAACAGGTGTACATATACTGAGCTCATGTGACGCTTAGATTGCACACAGGTGGACTTTATTTAACAAATTATGTGACTTCTGAAGCTAATTGGTTGCACCAGATCTTATTTAGGGGCTTCATAGCAAAGGGGGGGGAATACATATGCACGCACCACTTTTCCATTATTTATTTTTAGATGTATTTTTTAATACGTTTATTTATTTATTTTCACTTCACCAATTTGTACTATTTTGTGTATGTCCATTACATGAAGTCCAAATAAAAATCCATTTAAATTACAGGTTGTAATGCAACAAAATAGGAAAAACGCCAAGCGGGATGAATACTTTGCAAGGCACTGTATATGCTTAATGTGAGATGAACATCAGCAATGCCCCTTGCTACCTCCCCAACCTGACAGACCTGTGCAATTAAATTGAATAAATAAATAAGAAAACGCCAGGTGAAGGGAAATCTTAACGCTACAGCATGCAATGACATTCTAGATGATTCTGTTCATTCTCTCGACCTCTCTACCCCTCTACCTCTCTACCTCTCTCTACCCCTCTACCTCTCTACCTCTCTCTACCTCTACCTCTCTCTACCTCTAACCCTCTACCTCCCTCTACCTCCCTCTACCTCTCTCTCTACCTCTACCTCTACCTCTACCTCTCTCTACCTCTACCTCTCTCTACCTCTCTCTCTTTCGACCTCTACCTCTCTCTACCTCTCTCTCTGCTTTACTATGTGTGTTTCTTGTGGTCTACAGCACCAAGCAGAATGGCATGATTCAGCTGGCCAACTTCTACAGCCGCAAAAAATGTAGATAATGAGAGAGGGAGAGACGAAAGGGACAGGAAGAGGAGGAAGAAACAGAGTAGCAGGAAGAAATTGGCTTTACTACTTATTCTACAAATAAATGGTCTTCTCTAAATCCCCATGGGATCAGTAGTTGTATTTCCTGTTAAAGCTCAGATATGTACAGTAGTGATACCCAGTTGCTTGAATTATTTCCCCAAACGGAATCCTCTCCAGGTTCATATCTTATTGTTATATGGGACGGAGAGTTGCTGTGATATAACATGGAAGGTGGACTGTACTGCGTGTGGATGTAGGTTAGTATCACTGGATCCAATGAGAACCACTCCTGCCCTGACAGGTTAGTCGATAGTTAATTCGTCATTCTCATGGCTTATCAACGAAGGGCCTGTTGCATTCTCTTTCCACTTGGCATATTCATTTAGCCAGTGAGATGGTCTGAGAGAGAGAGAGACAGAGATTGTCAGCTCTTGTGAAATGGAGATAAAGTGTTTGTATCATTGGTCTTCTCAGCAATACAACACTGATAAGGCTAGTGAATGAGACAGCTCTGAACAGATGCTCTGGGGCCTAGTTAAAACACACACTAGTAGACTAGTACACAGTAACACATGCTGTAAGACACAGCGTATTTCCTGTCTGTGGTAGTGAAAGCCAGAGAACACATTAGTACAGTGGTGGAACACAGGAATCAAAACAGACTAATCTCTCTCTCTCTTTCCCATACAGTCGTCATGTATGATGAGGAAATATTACTACATCTCTCAGTTTGACAATGTATCGAAACGCTCTCATTACACATGTAGTGGATTACATACAGTGTCCTCCATAATTACTGGGACAGTGAATCATGTTTTCTTCTTTTGGCTCTATACTCCAAAAGTTTGGATTTGAAATCAAACAATGACTATGAGGTTAAAATGCAGACTGTCAACTTTAATTTTAGGGTATTCATATCAGGTGAAGCGTTTAGAAATGTCATAACTTTTTGTACATAGTCCCCCCCCCCGTATTAGGGGAGCAAAAGTATTAGGACAAATTGACTTATGTGTATTAAAGTACATATAAATGCTAACCTACCCTGTTATTGTAATGGTGATGTCTTGGGGGTATGATATTTGTGCTTCTATAAAAGTGACCCCAAAATGACAGAATACATTATTGACTATTCATTTCTATTCGGCACAAAATAATCTGAAACCCAACCCAACCAAAACAAACAGAAAATGCATCCAACAAATGTGTAGAGTCACAAGCTTGATATAGTCATTGTGTGCTATGAATATGGGACCAAATACTTTTTACTACTTTAATACACACATAAGTGAATTTGTCCCAATACTTTTACTCCCCTAAAATGAGGGGACTATGTACAAAAAGTGCTCTAATTTCTAAACGGTTCACCCGATATGGATGAAAATACCCTCAAATTAAAGCTGACAGTCTGCACTTTAACCCCATAGTCATTGCTTGATTTCCAAAGTTTTGAAGTGTAGAGCCAAAAGAAGAAAAAATTATTCAAAATCCCAATAATTGCTGAGGGCACTGTAGTTAGAACAATGGAAAAAAGGTATAACCCAAACGCGCTGCAGCCCAGATTACATCTGCCCAGTTGCTCGACTGAAGGACTTGAAAATCCAAAAAAACATTCCTTACCCCAGGGTACTTCAACTGGTGACTATCATTCCTTACCCCAGGGTACTTCAACTGGTGACTATCATTCCTTACCCCAGGGTACTTCAACTGGTGACTATCATTCCTTACCCCAGGGTACTTCAACTGGTGACTATCATTCCTTACCCCAGGGTACTTCAACTGGTGACTATCATTCCTTACCCCAGGGTACTTCAACTGGTGACTATCATTCCTTACCCCAGGGTACTTCAACTGGTGACTATCATTCCTTACCCCAGGGTACTTCAACTGGTGACTATCATTCCTTACCCCAGGGTACTTCAACTGGTGACTATCATTCCTTACCCCAGGGTACTTCAACTGGTGACTATCATTCCTTACCCCAGGGTACTTCAACTGGTGACTATCATTCCTTACCCCAGGGTACTTCAACTGGTGACTATCATTCCTTACCCCAGGGTACTTCAACTGGTGACTATCATTCCTTACCCCAGGGTACTTCAACTGGTGACTATCATTCCTTACCCCAGGGTACTTCAACTGGTGACTATCATTCCTTACCCCAGGGTACTTCAACTGGTGACTATCATTCCTTACCCCAGGGTACTTCAACTGGTGACTATCATTCCTTACCCCAGGATACTTCAACTGGTGACTATCATTCCTTACCCCAGGGTACTTCAACTGGTGACTATCATTCCTTACCCCAGGATACTTCAACTGGTGACTATCATTCCTTACCCCAGGGTACTTCAACTGGTGACTATCATTCCTTACCCCAGGGTACTTCAACTGGTGACTATCATTCCTTACCCCAGGGTACTTCAACTGGTGACTATCATTCCTTACCCCAGGGTACTTCAACTGGTGACTATCATTCCTTACCCCAGGATACTTCAACTGGTGACTATCATTCCTTACCCCAGGGTACTTCAACTGGTGACTATCATTCCTTACCCCAGGATACTTCAACTGGTGACTATCATTCCTTACCCCAGGGTACTTCAACTGGTGACTATCATTCCTTACCCCAGGGTACTTCAACTGGTGACTATCATTCCTTACCCCAGGATACTTCAACTGGTGACTATCATTCCTTACCCCAGGATACTTCAACTGGTGACTAACATTCCTTACCCCAGGATACTTCAACTGGTGACTATCATTCCTTACCCCAGGATACTTCAACTGGTGACTATCATTCCTTACCCCAGGATACTTCAACCGGTGACTATCCAGGAGAATAAAGAAAAAGGAGCACTCTGTTGCCGGGTAAATCTGGAAGAAACAACCAATAGGTTTACATTTCAGCATGAATCGCCTTCATCAGAACCTTGAGTTGTAAAAATGTGGGAGGCACCTATATACCCTCGCAGGGGAGTGTTCTATTCATTTACATTTTACATTTACGGCATTTAGCATATTGTCATGTCAGTCAATAATGTCAGTAGTAGTAGCAACTACACAGGTTATTCAAACAAGAGTATGATCATCATTCAAGATTCCTACACCTACATTCCAGTTGAATAACAAAAGACAGAAATAAACAAAGAAAAATATATTTACGAAAAATATCAGAAAGAGCTGTTCATTCAGACGCTTTGTCTCGACGCAATCTAAGCAGTCGATCCAAAGTTCCTCTAACAATTTCCTCACTATCTTGCCACCTCTGGAGGAAAGGAACTTTCTCAATTCCCCAGAATTTCAAGGTAGAAGCTGAGCCATGATTGGCATTTGCGTAATGCCGCGCAGTCCATATTTATGGTGCTGTTTGTGTTCAGCTATTCTTATTTAGTGCGTGTGTTTCGTCTGACCAATGTAAACAAGCCCACGTGCATTTGGGCATGTAAAAAAACATGTTGTACTACTGTACAATTTATGAAGTATTTTCTTGTATTCTTTAACTGAACGTGGGTGATAGAATACTTTTGTCACTTGCGTTGGAACAATGTGTACAATGACCGCAGCGGTAGAACCCATTTAAGGGGGAGGGTTAGACGCAAAGTCTTTGAGCGATGGGTGACTCTGGAGAATGTGCCCGTGTTTGAGTTGTTTATCAGCCTTTCTAGCATGACGCAACCTATGTGGGGTGTTCGTGCCAGACAAAGTGTTTGTTGAATCTGTGCCAGGGTTTCATTGGGTTAATCTAGTTCCCTGGCTAGCCTTTCCCTGACGCTAATGTAATGAACGCCCTACCTCACAACACCCTGTCATCCGATTGGCTATTGGCAGCGCATCTTAATAAACCTATGATCTGGCAGCGCTTGATGAACTCTGTAATCTGATTTGTTCCTTGCAGTGATTGGTTAGGTAATCCTGTGATTTAATTGGCTGCTGGCTCTTTTAGGTAAAGTACTAATTTGATCTGATTGGCTCTTGACAATGATGGAGTGAAGGAGCAGAAAAGGGTATTGGTAAATGTTACCCCTATTGGTTAAGGTTAGGATTTGGGGATAGGGTGATTTCATCATACAGCTGTGGTTCTGACCTCTAGATGCTAGGTTATGGAGAGGTTTGGGTAAAGTTTACCGTATGCATCCCAGTCGAAACAGTTTGCGGCTTCGCGCATATATTATGCCGACATTTTGTAACGTTTTTGTTTGTTTTGGTGTTCGGCAGTTATTTTTTTTGGGTGTTCGAGCACACCATTTTTCTTCTTGAGGCAAGCCAAAATTCAGTAGCCGAAGTCTACGCCCCTTCGTCGGTGATTGGTCAACAGTAGGGATTCTTCAATGAAGTGTTTGTTGTCAGTAAACGAGAGATGACTACTTTTCCATGCACATTTTTTCACAAATACTGCATCAAAACATCGTAGTTAGATGTAAAATTGCGCGACTAAGTCCTCCTCGGCACAAACGTCAAAATGAATGGCAGATTTCTGGATATGTTGTTGATACGGCGAATGTCTTTAGGGAGTATGCGAGCACAGACGTTCACTTCCTCTAGCCGAGTTCTGCTAGGAGCAAACAGAACCTATGTATGCGGACGCCTTTAGCGTGCTGCTTACAAACCTCATCATGATGCCAAAAAACCTCATCATGATGCCAAAGGTACACACATTGTTGGGGAGCACACTCACCTCGTAGTGAGGTGATGGCTGGCTGGCTGGCTTCTGAGACAGAATGCAGTATGATGCCAAACCTGAACAGCAGCCAACTCACTGAGAGGAAATCTCTAAATCCCTAACACACGCACTGCAACTCTGACAGTACACACACACACACAAACCTCTGACAGGGAACACTTACATGCACACAAACACACACCATCAGAGAACAAGTTTACAAACACACAGTAGCACAGCTAGGACAAAGCAGAGTAGGGTTTTCCTCTTTATCTTCCCAAATGAAGGGATGTAACCATAATACACTGTAGTATAGGTCCTAACCAGTAGTAGTGTGTAGTCACTGTACTATAGGTCCTAACCGGTGGTAGTGTGTGTGTTCAGCTAACTCTGGATAGGTCCAGTTGTAAAACATGAGGGGGCCATGCTGTGTGAGTTGGAGCGACCTAGCCAGGACACAAGTCGGGTCAGGAAATAAGATCAGGGGGATTTTATGTTTCCTGGAGTGTTTGGCGGGGGAGGGAGGGGGGGGGGGGGGGGGGGGGGGACACCAGAATCCTTCTTCTCCTAACTAAACCCCCCCCTTCAGCCCCCATCTATGGGGTCCAGGCTAGGACTGTGGGCTACGGAAAGTTGTATACGTTATTTCGTGACCAGGACTTTTTTATTTTGTTTTCAAATGGACTGGTAATCCACTTTTCCCTTCTATGCTATGCTAGTCTCTTCATCATCCTTAGGTAGCTTGTTCACAAGGCCCCATAGACCTCAGTGCCAGTCTATGTGTGTAGCTGTGTTGATGCTGTGGGCCTGGAGAAGAATGTGTTGCACAACAGCAGCCTCTACTTAACTGCAGCCTGGCTCTGGGAAATAACATCTCTAGAGAGGTGATGCTATCACAGAATAGTGTGGAGGGAGGGAGGGAGGGAAAGAAAGAAAGAAAGGGAGAGAGAACAAGTGGACATAGATAACACAAAGCCCTCGGGGAGAAGAGATGGAGTGAGAAACGAGGGAGATTGAACAGGAGGAGAGAAAGGGATTGCAGTAACAAAGAAAGAGTTGGACCAGAAGAGAGAGGGAAAGATGAGGGAAAACAGCTTTTGTCCCTGGCAACATGCTGTCAGGGTAGGTCCCAGCTAACAATACAGCAAGGTCCCTCTTTCTCCTCTATAGCAACTTTATTTTTATTTTTTATTAAGACCTCTCCCCTCTTTCTCTCTTTCGTCTAGGGAATGCCAAGGAGGGATGGTGCAGCCATCTAACTTCAGGGATGTGATTTTTCCTGAAATGTGATTTTTCCTGAAACCAGTCATTCCTGCTTTTCTGTCATCATCCTCCATTCCAACAGCATTGGAATTGATGACTTATACCCCCAAGAGCAATATCCCATTTTCCCTGTCCTGAATTATAATGCTTTCTGTATTGTGGACATGACTTTTTCCAGACCCACAGACTGCACTGAGTAGGACCCAGGACAGGAGGACTCATTCAAAGACCTGTCTGCCTTTTGCCTGTCTATGATACGACAGTATGTGTGTGTCTGTATCCATGTCCCCTCTTAAGGACTATTTATTTACTTGCACTTTGGTTCCGGGCATTATCAATCCACTTAGCCTGAATAAAGTTGTTTTATAGTATTTGAAGGCTGTCTTTTAATAAATGGTACACACACAGTCAGACACGCATGGATGTGAGCGAGTACGCACACATACAAACAACTTGTGTTAATGAAGGGGAGTTGCTCTGTGATTAGAATTTGCTTTTTGCTACTCGGAAGGCTAAATAAATGCTATTTAATTCACCCGATTTAACAAGCACTCTCTCTTTCCACCTCTCTCTTGCTCTCTCTCCCTCCCTCCTTTAGTGTCTACCTCGTGTCCTCTGCTCTGGCCAATTAAATGATTGACCTTTCGGTTCAAGAGCTGCTAATCAACCTATTAATACTCAGCAGATTGGTGCTTTATGGTAAAAGGGGAAACCACTCATAGAGACCTGTACAAACACACAGATACACACTGCATCACAGGGTATTTCAGGGAAGGGAATGGTTGGTTAAAGGGTTTTTCCAGACATCTGAACTTTGGCCAGCTGTATACCTTTTAAGGTGTTGTGTGGGCTCTGTGGTCAAATAAATGAATTGAGAGGTATGTAGGGAGAGAGAGCATGTATAGACTTGTTTAAATCCCAGGTTGGATACTGTTGTTGTGCATCAGGAGAAAACAGGCCTGCTGAACTGAACACTTAACAGCCTTGCCATTCATCTGATTAGCTATGTACTGCTACATTGCAGACCGACTGAGAGGCTGCAGGGGCCGGGCCAGGGACTGATTAGGGTCAGACACACACCGAGAGAGGAGAGCCTCTCTAGCAGATGCACAGATCCAGAGGCCATTTAAAAATCACAACACCACTGGCTGGCCCTGGGACTGACATCATGAGAGGATCCCACTGGGCACAGACATCTATTCCATGATCAACTTTGTTGAAATTACGTGGAAACAATGTTGATTCAACCAGTGTGTGCCCAGTGGGATGGGACCATATTAAACATGATAGTGTTTGGTAAGCAGCCCTGGATAGGTCTGTGAATCAATAGTCAGTTTGGTGGACTAGCTAGAATAATGGCCTGCTCACATTTATTGTTCTGCAAGTGTGGAAATGTGAAAAATGTGTGGTTGAATCAAGGAAGGATATTGGTTGAACTAATAATAATAATAATATAATATGCCATTTAGCAGACGCTTTTATCCAAAGCGACTTACAGTCATGCATGCATACATTTTTGTTTATGATGCTCCCGGGGATTGAACCCACCTTGGCGTTACAAGCGCCGTGCTCTACCAGCTGAGCTACAGAGGACTACCGAACTGTTGTAACTGTTTTGATTGAATGGCTGAGTCAGTCAGCACTGAGATCATGTAGGGGATTCCATGAAAGAGGAACTTCTATGGTTGTGATTACATCACCAAAACTTTACAAGTCATCTCATTTGCGTTTCCAAGAAAGAGAAAATGGGTGTTCTTTCTGGAATCTTTTTTTTTTTTTTTCTTTACTTTAGAATGACTGCTCAGAAGTTGTGCTTTTTCTTTCGCAGTATGAATCATCCTAACAATGACAGAACACGTATATTATTTTATTTGGCGGTGAGGAGGAGGTTTATTTAAGATACTGTTTCAAGAGTTAGAGTTACAGATGTTTTCAGAGGATGGGCAGCGACTCAGCTGTCCTAATTTAAGGGTGAAGCTGGTTCCACTATTGGGGTGCCAGGACAGAGAAGAGCTTGGACTGGGCTGAGCAGGAGCTGCTCTGCCGTAGGGGTGGGAGGGCCAAGAGACCAGAGGTGGCAGAACGGAGCACTCGGGTTGGGGTGTAGGGTTTGAGCATAGCCTGAAGGTAGGGACATGACTGGAAACATTACAATAATATTTTTTCATACCACACAAATTACCAAAATGACAGGATACTCTGACATTGACATATTGAGATCAATAAAACAAACGGCCCATGTCTTAAATGCAACCAATAGCATAGGCCAATGAAAAGAGTGGACACACAGATTGTAGGCCTACAATATGATGAGGAAATTATTGTCCACCAACTTTCCAGTGGCACTTACTTATCCAAAGTGTTATTGTATTTTGAAATATTGCGAAAGACATTTTAGCTGCTGCCTGCTGTTCATTGACAGCCATAATGACAGCTGCCCACAACTCAAAAATCATCTGTTTGATCTTTTCAGCGCAGGCTGCCCAATTACGGGATTCTTCTTCTTGATGTGACAAAACACAATCCACAGCATTTAAAAAAAAAAAAGAAGCCATTGAGCCTCTGTGGCAAAATTATTCTCTCTGGTGTAGTATTTTCAATGATTTCATTTATTTCTGTATAGACAGGAGTAATTATATACTGCAATTTTGCTAATTTATTTCAATTTATCTGCAGGACTTCCAGCACCCCTTCCTTGGCTATGCTTTCTTCCATGGATTGTGTTCAGTAACCCCATATGAGGTTATTGCATAGCTAGGTCTACTGTTACAATAATATTTAAAATAATCTATCAGCCAGTAGCCTACAGTTAAAATAAAATACATTCAGTAGGCTAAGTCAATGACACCAATAGTGGATTCAGCTATATTGTTATAGAAACGATGTAGGCCTAATGACCTTTTTAACCATTGTAGCACAGTTTCAATGTTCATAAAGCTAATAAGAAAATATGTCAAATTACCTGAATAGCCTATGGGAAAAGTGTAGAAATGTGTAATCGCATCAGTAAGCTAAGTGACTGAAATGCATCAGAAAAGTATTGGAAAGTTCAGGAAAACATCAGGGAAGCTCATCAGGTAGGCTATAGGCCTAATGTATTGTGTGTGTGTAGAGAAGATCTGTATTGCTTTCAATTGCTAGACGAATGATGAGCACTCGCCTCAATTTAGCTAACACTTCCCGGCCTAATTGTAACCAAATATCCAAAATGTGTCCCCAACGCTTGTCTCAAAGTAGTGCAATGCCACTGTCAAAACGGTGCTGAAATTATCAGTAGACGACACACGGCAATTGTTTTACATGTATTATAAGTGGTGTAATAAATAATATAATATGCCATTTAGCAGACGCTTTTATCCAAAGCGACTTACAGTCATGCGTGCATACATTTTTTGTGTATGGGTGGTCCCGGGGATCGAACCCACTACCTTGGCGTTACAAGCGCCGTGCTCTACCAGCTGAGCTGGTGTAGTTGTTGTTTTTAGGTAGCCTACCGAAACACAATTTTTTTATTATTTCATGATCATTTCTGCATGAATGTTGGTACCAACATGTAGCCTGTTGTATAATATAATTTTAGAATATACAGTACTGGTCCAAAGTTTGGACACATCTACTCATTCAAGGGTTTTTCTTTATTTTTTAAAATTGTCTACATTGTACAATAATAGTGAAGACATCGAAACTATAAAATAACACATATTGAATCATGTAGTAACCAAAAAAGTGTTAATCAAATCAAAATGCCTCAGGACGGGCTTTGGGCTAAACCCGGAATGTCTTCAAATCCTAGAAACGCCCCTGGCTCTGATGCTCGCGATGGATTTGCCCCATTTTAATCTGCTCAAACGAAATGAGAGGGAGGGAGGGAGGGATGGGGGGAGAGAGAGAGAGTTGGAGAGAGAGAGAGAGAGAGAGAGTTGGAGAGAGAGAGAGAGAGAGAGAGAGAGAGAGTGAGGGGGGGGGGGGTAGTACGCTACGAAACTAATCGGATTTTGGGAAAGTTTATGGTGTGCCTGTTTCTCTATTCTACATTGGCTTGGTGTGTGTGGTACTTTTAATTTCTGTACTGCGTGTCTGTTTTCTGCCCTAAATGAGGACCGCAATTTTTTTCTCATCTCGATGGTGACATTACAAATCGGCGGAACTCTCTCGGTTTGATTTGCTTAGGCAAGGAGGACGTTTGACTGTTGAATTAAAATGAACAAAAACAATAATCTTCTAATGTCGGATGTGGGCTACAACCCCGTGTAGCCTAGGTTGGTATTCCAGGGAGAGCGCAGAAATATGATTTGATGTTCATTTCTCACGGAATGCGGGATGATGGAGTTGCAATATTAACCGGGAAATATTCCCCAACGGAGTAGGAGCAGCAGTTGGCCTGTTGGATTACGCCAAAACTAGTTGCTAAACCTTCACTTTAATTCCATTTCCAGGCTCTTTACAAAGTTAAACTCATAATCCGCGTTGATGTTGGCAAAAACGTCCAAGTGCGCCAGCCCACATTCATCGTTCTTCCCCCAGAGGAGGACAGCCACTTAGGGGGTTAGATGGTTCTGATCACGGACGAGAGAGACGGAGGTGGCTCCTCTACTACGGCCCGTGTCAAACAGCACCAGCAGCAGCAGAGCCCCAAAGGCGCCAGCCCTTTCGCCCAGGTACACCCGACCATTACCGACGAACCGCCTTCCTTATCAGACGACGACTCATACCTCGGGTCCTGTGAGTCTGAGGGAGACGGGGAGGATAACTATGAGGAATACGACGATTTCTCGTTATTACCGGACACCAAGAGTATCGCCTCGGACGACTCATTCTACCCACCTGACGATGCGTTCGCGGACAACGAGCGGACCCCCTCTCCGCAGAGCCCCGAGCCGCTGTCGTTCTTCCAGGCGTGCTGCACCAACAACGCCACGATAGTCCGGATCATGATTCGACAAGGTGTGAGGGAGGCAGAGGTGAGGGAGACGGATAAAAACAACAGGGTAAGTCGAGTTCAATGTGCCCATATGGTCAGTGTCAAATAGTTTCCTTGGAAAGTGTTCTGTTCTAATGCATTTATATCCAGTGGCTGCTCCTCTTGTTGTGAGTTTGGAGATTAGGAAGATATAATTAGGTCGTTTGGACACAATGGTGCGTGAGGTGCGAACTCATCTGTGCGTAATTACGCACGGTCAAAGTGCGTATCCAAAGTGATCAACTGTTGCACGTCTGTTGGAGGAACACTTGGGCATTTCGCACATTTATGTCACAGTGGTTAAACATAACATTTTAGAGAAATTTAAAGAACATGTCAGCCACTACAACAGTATTCAGATTATCCATATATCTTGACCACTGTGACAGATATTCAAACTTTCAGAGTCATGAGGAACTTTGTATCCCAAAGTTAAACCTACCCTTCCATCCCA